AGTTATCTTATCTTGGGGCTTGGTAAATCTGTGTCACTACCCGGGAATAGCGATCAGCTGCTTCGCATAGGGTTATTATTATTTTAAATATGTTTAGTAAAGGCTGCATATAATTAAGAAAATAATGGAATATATTATTCCTGATAAAAAAAATAGTTTCAGATACAATTTTTGCCGATCCTTGCATTAAAAATCCTATAAAGTTATATCATTGGGTGTGTCTTGACCGAATCACCGGTCGATTCCAAGAAAACGTGTGTACCAGCTGATCGCTGTTTCCGGCTTAGTTTACGAGAAAATACACAAGGTAATCTTAATCCCTGGATATAAAACAATGGCAGAACAATAAATACTATTCAAACAGTAAATAAACATGTCTGGTGATTTTTTATCTCAAATTTCGAATTTGTACTGACGAAGTTTCTCATCACCCGTTCGTTTGCCGGACTTCGCTGAAAGGGTACGGTGTAAATTGGTTCTGCGCATAATATTCAAATTTCTTTTTTTCCAAAATATTGAACCCACTAGAGGGGGGTGCGCATTATACATGGGTGCGCACTATACTCAAGAAAATACGGTAGTTGCTGTACTGTGCATTTTTACGACCTGCGTCTATGCCCCACCTGTCTTTGGTATCTAGTCAATCTTATTTCAGACAAAACATTTTGACTGCAGGAAACTTACAACCCTAATGAATAGATGAAACAAACAATACAATGATTGTCATTAGATGAAGCAAAGAATACAACACTTCTGATTAGATGAAACATACAACACAACATTTGGGATTAGATGAAAGGGACAATAGAAACACTTATGAATAGATGAAACAAAGATTACAACACTTGTGATTACATGACAGAGACAATCATCTTTGATAGGGTACACAGACAATACAACACTTCTGATTAGATGAACCATACAACACTACATCTGTGATTAGATGAAACGGACAACACAACATCTTTGATTCGATGAAACGGAAAATACTTGGAAAATACTCCACACAAAACAACAGATACTCAATGTATGTATACTACTGCATAACAGACCTGCAGTCTGCTAATGTGTGTGAGAGTGTGTGTGTCTTTGTTGTTCATTGATTCAGAGATGCATATCATGAGCACTATTGGGAAATAACATACAATCAAACCAAGTCACCAAGTCTGCCCACCCGATTCATTCAGTCGCCTCTACTATCTTACAGTATGCTTGGGACCTACATTCTTACCCAAAGTCTCCATAGTTTCATAAATTGTCCCTGTAAATTCTTGAAAAATATACCTATTGAGCTCAGATAGTTTCAGCTTCAGCTGTAAATCCAAATGAGCCTATTTTTTTTTAAAAACACCTTTCAACAATGTACTGTCTATGGCAGGCAATTTTGTTTTCAAAGATCTCAAGAATAATTATATTTTTCAAGAATTTTCAGGGACAATTTATTTTACCATGGTACAAGTCAAAACAGAGATCATTTTGGTCATTGGTGGAATTTGGAAATGTCCTCCACATGTCTACAATAAAATTGTTTGAAAAATGTACTAAGGCCTTGGGTTTTGTAACCCTGATCAAACAACTTGAGTTGTATAACACACTGGAAATCTTCACAGACAGAACATGCTTGATTGTACCTCCTAAGTTGTGAAATGTATCCACTAAATGCTGGAGTTGCTGGAATATTACTTGATATAAAGGGGAAGTTTACATTTGTAAAGTTGGAAGTTCTTAATACACACGGAGACCAGTCTATATGGTCAGTTCCCAATAAGGTTCCCAATAAGGTTCTCAATAAGGTTCCCAATAAGGTTCTCAATAAGGTTCTCAATAAGTTTCTCAATAAGGTTCCCAATAAGGTCTCAACAAGGTTCTCAATAAGGTTTTCAATAAGGTTCTCAATAAGGTTCCCAATAAGGTTCTCAATCAGGTTCCCAATAAGGTTCTCAATATGGTTCCCAATAAGGTTCCCAACAAGGTTCTCAATAAGGTTATCAATAAGGTTCCCAACAAGGTTCTCAATAAGGTTCCCAATAAGGTTCTTAATAAGGTTCCCAATAAGGTTCTCAATAAGGTTCTCAATAAGGTTCCCCAAATGGTTCCCAATAAGGTTCCCAATAATGTTCATAAGAAGGTTCCCCAAATGGTTCTCAATAAAGTTCTCAAAAGGACTACACAGTTTCAAATATGGTTTGCAATAAAGTACCCTTAAAAGTTCCCAATACACTTCCACTAAGGTTACCACTGAGCTTTTACTAAGGTCCCTAACATTGGCAGAGCTCTTTCTTCTGACAACATTGGTTACCTCTGTTGCATGGAACCATGAAACAGAGAAACAACCAGAGCAAAGGGACACCATTGGCACAAACCAATACAATTTGCACATTAAAATCATCAATATAACAACATAACTAAGCAAGAGATAGCTTCAGAATGTTCAATTACATCAAAGGAAACACCACTTACAGGTAAATATTTGATTATTTGAATATTGATCAGCATTTATGTTTTTCTTTGTTACATAAAAAAGCATGACCCTCACACAGTAACAAGTAACAAAGGCTAAAAGGCCTGCAACATTGCGGTCAAATTACACAGATTTCAAAATCAGAATCTGGAAGTAGATACAAGAGACCCTCACTTGTCAAGACTTCAGAAATCAGACACTCTTTCAGTGAAAACTGATATGTTGCTACAGAAAAGTATCCATGTATCCAGTATCCTGATGCAGATGGTCACATATAGTTAACTAAATGGCTAAATGTACACCCTGTATGACTCATCCTCAGAATCTGTATACATTGTACAGCTCAGGTCCTCAATAGCTTCACATCTTGTACAGCTCAGGTCCTCAACAGCCTCAAATCTTGTACAGCTCAGGTCCTCAATAGCCTCACATCTTGTACAGCTCAGGTCCTCAATAGCCTCACATCTTGTACAGCTCAGGTCCTCAATTGCCTCAAATCTTGTACAGCTCAGGTCCTCAATAGCCTCACATCTTGTACAGCTCAGGTGCTCAATAGCCTCACATCTTGTACAGCTCAGGTCCTCAATAGCCTCACATCTTGTACAGCTAGGGTCCTCAATAGCCTCAAATCTTGTACAGCTCAGGTCCTCAATAGCCTCACATCTTGTACAGCTCAGGTCCTCAATAGCCTCACATCTTGTACAGCTAGGGTCCTCGATAGCCTCAAATCTTGTACAGCTCAGGTCCTCAATAGCCTCACATCTTGTACAGCTCAGGTGCTCAATAGCCTCACATCTTGTACAGCTCAGGTCCTCAATAGCCTCAAATCTTGTACAGCTCAGGTCCTCAATAGCCTCAAATCTTGTACAGCTCAGGTCCTCAATAGCTTCACATCTTGTACAGCTCAGGTCCTCAATAGCCTCACATCTTGTACAGCTCAGGTCCTCAATAGCCTCACATCTTGTCACACATCCAACAGTTACGCATAACCCACTTTTCACAACATGTACAGTCACGCATACCACAACGAATAACCCGCTTCTCACACCAACATTCAAGTCACACATCCCACAGTTATGTATAACCCACTTCTCACATCAACGCTTGTCACACATCCCACAGTAAATAACCCACCTTTCACACCAACATTCAACTCACACATCCCACAGTTATGTATAACCCACTTCTCACACCAACACGTACAGTCACACATCCCACAGTGAATAACCCACCTTTCACACCAACATTCAAGTCACACATCCCACAGTTATGTATAACCCACTTCTCACACTAACACATACAGTCACACATCCCACAGTGAATAACCCACCTTTCACACCAACATTCAAGTCACACATCCCACAGTTATGTATAACCCACTTCTCACACAAACACGTACAGTCACACATCCCACAGTGAATAACCCACTTTTCACACTAACATTCAAGTCACACATCCCAAAATTATGCATAACCCTCTTCTCACACCAACATGTACAGTCACACATCCCACAGTGAATAACCCACCTTTCACACCAACATTCAAGTCACACATCCTACAGTTATGTATAACCCACTTCTCACACCAACACGTACAGTCACACATCCCACAGTGAATAACCCACTTTTCACACCAACATTCAAGTCACACATCCCACAGTTATGTATAACCCACTTCTCACACCAACTCTTGTCACACATCCCACAGTGAATAACCCACCTTTCACACCAACATTCAAGTCACACATCCCACAGTTATGTATAACCCACTTCTCACACCAACACGTAGTCACACATCCCACAGTGAATAACCCATCTTTTACACCAACATTCAAGTCACACATTCCATAGTTAGGTATAACTCACTTCTCACACCAACACGTACAGTCACACATCCCACAGTGAATAACCCACCTTTCACACCAACATTCAAGTCACACATTCCATAGTTAGGTATAACTCACTTCTCACACCAACACGTACAGTCACACATCCCACAGTGAATAACCCACCTTTTACACCAACATTCAAGTCACACATTCCACAGTTAGGTATAACTCACTTCTCACACCAACGGTCGTCACACATCCCACAGTGAATAACCCACCTTTTACACCAACATTCAAGTCACACATTCCACAGTTATGTCTAACTCACTTCTCACACCAACGCTTGTCACACATCCCACAGTGAATAACCCACCTTTTACACCAACATTCAAGTCACACATTCCACAGTTAGGTATAACTCACTTCTCACACCAACACGTACAGTCACACATCCCACAGTGAATAACCCACCCTTCACACCAACATTCAAGTCACACATTCCACAGTTACGTCTAACCCACTTCTCACACCAACGCTTGTCACACATCCTACAGTGAATAACCCACCTTTCACACCAACATTCAAGTCACACATCCCACAGTTATGTATAACCCACTTCTCACACCAACATTCAAGTCACATATTCTAGTAACGTCTAACCCACTTCTCACACCAACGCTTGTCACACATCCCAGACCTATGCATCATTCATCACGCCAACACCTCCCCACTCCCTAGAAGTGGAGCATCATCTGATCGTTGTGATGTTGCTATGGCAACATCCACATTCAAATGTTCACTTGAGTGTCCAACAAGGCTTTGTCCAGCCTGGACTTGACCTCTTGACTGCTCTGGATGCGACAGACTTCGCTTCAACACTGACTGGAAAACAGATCAGAATGCATTTGTAGTACACAAGTCCAGGGCTCAAGAATAGAAAAAGATCATGTGTGTCCAAAGGACCTGTTTTGCAGGTGTGCCATTTTCAACTTGGAGGTGCCTTGTCTATATCACCCAAAAATTATAACAAAAGGCAGCTAATCAATTAGTTAAAAAAATTAAATGACATAAATATTGAAAAGTACAGAGATTCACCTGGTTTTGTCAAAAATGCATATTGGACACCTGATACATTTAAATGTTCATTGGAATGTAATGTGTTTCAAGTCTGCTGGTTCTAAAACCCCTTGAACCATTGAAGAAAATCATATTTTTCCACCTTTTCCACCTGACAAGATAGACACAATTTTTATGGATAACAACTTCTTTAATACTGTGAAAAGCGACGTTTCGGTATAGATCCTTATACCGTTGTCCAGTCTTGCTTGACCACGGTATAAGGATCTATACTGAAACGCCGCTTTTCACAGTATTAAAGAGGTTGTTATCCATAAAATTGTGTCTATCTTGTCATTCGTCAACTTCTAAGTAATGCCTATCAAACAACAAATCTTTTCCACCTGGTTGACCATACTCTTTGCAAATTTGGCAAAATACCACATTCATATCCTTGTCACATTTAACAATGATTAGCACTTTGGAAGAGGCCTGTTACTTTTTTAGATATTTTTCGGCTTTTGCTTCATGCATTCTGAACCACAAAAGAAACATCACCATGGAGGGATATATGAGACACCTTATTTATCCAAACACTGTAAACATACTTTCAGACATATGTAAAAGTTGAAACTTGACAAAACTGATCATCAAGGTTGACATTAAAGTGTCAAATGTTCTTAAAGTGAAACACATCACTAGTCTCTGAGAAAATGGCATCACAAGTCAGTATCTCGTGTGTCCGCTATGTGCATTGATGACTGCCGTGCAATGTCAATATATGGAATGGATGAGGCGGTTGATGAAGGCCATAGGCACTTGAGCCCCCACTCTGAGATACGCCTGACGCAGTCCAGCTGCAGTTGTTGGCCTTGGTCGGACGTCATTACGCCATCTTTGAATCTCGTCCAACAGGTGCTAAATTGGATTTAAAGTGGGAGTGAGGGCAGGCCACTGTATGGTTCTGATGCCATTCTGCTGGAGGAAGTCTGTTGTTGCTCTCGCAGTGTGGGCCGGTGCGTTATCATGCTGAAACTTGTGGTTGGGGCGACGTGCCAAATGAGTTATGGCGTGTGGTCTCAAGACTTGATCAATGTACCGAGCTGCTGTGACACCATTGCCTCACCATGGACCGATGTTCTGGAAGACCTCTGTGCAAAACCAATTCCATCCCACACCATGATGCTCGGACCACCCAAAGAGTCTCTCTCAACAACACAAGCATCTAAAATAATGTTCCCCATGGCGTCGCCTGACTCTCTCTGTGCCATCTGCTGTTGAGATACAGTAATGGCTCTCGTCTGAGAAGAGGACTCTTCTCCACTGCTGGTGGCACCAATGCTGGTGCTGTGTTGCCCACTGAAGACGGTCCCGGCCATGATGGCGATGATGGTGTCAGAATGGGTCTTCGGTGTGGCCTGTGACAGCCAAGGTGTCTGCTCGTCAATCATCGACGCACGGTGTCTTCACTAATGTGTCGATGGTGTGTCCCCATGGTCTGTCGAGCATTTTCTGCAGCAGTAACAAAGCGATCTTGAAGATGCTGTCGAACAATCTGACAATCCTGACATTGTGTGGTGACCATTGGTCTTCCCCCACGTGGTCGGTCATCTGTAGTGTTGGTGGTCTGGTACTGTTTTTGGAGCCGGTATATGGTCCTTACTTGGACTTGAAATGTATTGGCTACTTGCCGGGCAGTTTGTCCAGCTTGGCCAATGGTGTCATTGATTTTTTGTCAATCTTGGCATGTGGTAGCAATTCAAAAATGAATGAATGTTATCCGATCTGAGTGGATTTTTATAGGGCAAGAAATGGGGGAACGCATGTGCATTTTTAATTTGCATGGAACTCACATCGAGGTTGCCATGGCCATTACCGTGATGCGTTTGGGCGATCGGTTTTATTGTCATCTGCTTTGTTTTTTTATCACCAAATTTCATTTTTGCGGACAAGGTAATGCAAAATTTTAGAAACTTTGACAAAAATTATCCAGATATTTAAATGACAACTTTTAATGCAATGTTACTTGGGGCGATGTTTCTTTTGTAGTTCAGTATATAATAGCAGATGCTGGACGTGTCTGTTTTAAAATCTTTTGGATTTTTTTCAATTTTAATGTCAGCACTAGCACTTGGCGATATTGGCTGTTTTCCTTGCTCATCGTCTGCAGCAACACTAGTATCATGAATGTAAGTGGAAAGCTGCAAATGTCAACCAAGTTTGGTGCTGACAAACCAAGGATTCTAGTTAGTGATAAAAAGTGATTCAAACCAAGGAACTGATACACAAATAATTCAAGCATGGTTCATACAAAACTACCAAATGTTCAGCCTGCTAAAAGCCTTTTCAAGGCAATGATTGAGGCTAAAGGTAAGATGTAATTGTGCTTTAAAACATATTTATTTGGAAAATCTTTCTTCATTTGAGAATGAACATCCAATGTTTGTTTGCTTGTTTGTTTGTTGTTTAACGCCGCACTCAGCAACATTCCAGGAATATGACGGCAGTCTGTAAATCATCCAGTCTGGACCAGACAATCCAGTGTTTGATGTCATGAGCATCGATCCACGCAATACGGATACGATGACATGCATCAACCAAGTCATCTAGCCTGACCACCGGATCCTGTTAGTTGCCTCTTACAACATGCATTGTCACCTTTTAAGGCATGCATGGGTTACTGAAGACTTATTCTAGCTCGGATCTTAACCAGTCTTGACACAAGTAAATGCATCCAAGTCCACATACCAATGTTTATATATGATTCAATATTATCAACTTACGGTTATATATACAACATATCACTGCTACTAAAGAGGAAGAATATTTATAACATACTTATTTAACCTTTCTCCAGCAGATTCAAACCTAGGGCCTTTTCAAGACCAGGAACCCGTTCCACAAAGCGATCTTAGTGCTAAGTTGGTCGTAACTCCCATACTTTATCATAGGCTTACGATCAACGTGGCACTAAGATCGCTCTGTGGAACGCGGCACAGGCTGGTAAATTCAAGGCCTTTCTCAGCCTGTGGGACCTTTGTTAAAGACTGATGCATGCTTGATTCAGACAATGTGTGCTGTATAGGAACGAATGCACAACAGAGGAAATGTCAACAGTGCAATCTGTGCATTTTTGGTTCGTAAGTACCCAGTTTGTTATAATTTTGCAATATTATTTTACCATTTTGCGTGTAGCCATTGCTTTAGCCAGCTGTATCCGTTGACGTATCTGTGTTTCATCGGTCTCATCAATTATCTCTTCCTGCAGGAGCTCCTCGATGACGTCCTCCAGCGTAATGATCCCCATGACCTACAACATGGGGGAGGACCTATGATACTACTTAGTTTCATTAATGTTGACATATGGCATGTAGTAGGACATATGGCATGTTGGAGGAGGACAAAGGACAGGAGACATACGGCATGTAGGAGGACATAGGGCATGTAGGAGGACATAGGGCATGTAGGAGGACATATGGCATGTGGAAGTACATAGGGCATGTAGGAGGACATAGGGCATGTTGGAGTACATAGGGCATGTTGGAGGACATAGGGCATGTAGGAGGACATAGGGACTGTTGGAGGACATAGGGCATGTTTGAGGACATATGGCATGTAGGAGGACATAGGGCATGTAGGAGGACATAGGGCATGTAGGAGGACATAGGGCATGTTGGAGGACATATGGCATGTAGGAGGACATAGGGCATGTTGGAGGACATATGGCATGGAGGAGGACATAGGACATGTAGGAATACATAGGGCATGTAGGAGGACAAAGGGCATGTTGGAGGACATATGGCATGTTGGAGGACAAATGGCATGTAGGCGGACATAGGGCATGTAGGAGGACATAGGACATGTAGGAAGACATATGGCATGTAGTAGGACAAAGGGCATGTTGGAGGACATAGGGCATGTTGGAGGACATGGGGCATGTTTGAAGACACAGGACACAAACAGAGCACCTTGAGCATCGGGGACACAAGCAGGACACAGGGGACACACTAACCTCACCAATCTGCTGTGGGCTGTCATGCTGCAGGTCATCTTGAGACTCTCCCAGTAATGGCGTTATATCATCAGTGTTGTCCTGTAGGCCACGGAGTTGTCTCCCCTGATATGATTTCCGCACTACAGCCAAGTGACCTGACGAATGGAAATAGACAATGTTCGAGCAGGTCACATTTGTCTCCTGTATTTTATAACAAAAAATTCACTGAAATATATATTGATAATCATTTTGGAATCTATGATAACAGCCTTTCAATACCAATTATCTTAAATTTAAATAAGTGTCCAGTGCTAGACATGTGTCTGTTTTGTCTAAGGCATTCACAATCAGGCTGATTCCAAATCCAGTCTGGTAGTTCAAACATCATTTTGTTTCTAATCCCACACCATGTCACCTTTGCCAGTCTGGAAGAGATTGATAAGGTCATGCAGTGGTTTGACGTCGTCAATAAAAATGACCGGGCGGAAGTATTGGGGGTCGAGCAAGAGGCTGCTGACAGGAATAGCATCCTCTGGGTCCAGCTTGATCAAGGTTTTCATCAGCAACACAGCTTTGATCTGCGACCGAGACTCCTCGTACACTGGGATGCGGGAGTGTCCATGAAACAAGATCTACAGGAGAAGAGTGAAACAAAAGAGTGTTCATGAATACAAACATGGAAGTGGAAACATCAGGACAGTCACTGGTCCATGGATGTACACACAGATGTGAAACAGGACAGTCACTGGTCTATGGATGCACACACAGATGTGAAACAGGACAGTCACTGGTCCATGGATGCATACATGGAAGTGAAAACATCAGGACAGTCACTGGTCCATGGATGCATACATGGAAGTGAAAACATGAGGACAGTCACTGGTCCATGGATGTACACACAGATGTGAAACAGGACAGTCACTGGTCCATGGATGTACACACAGATGTGAAACAGGACAGTCACTGGTCCATGGATGCACACACAGATGTGAAACAGGACAGTCACTGGTCCATGGATGTACACACAGATGAAACAGGACAGTCACTGGTCCATGGATGCACACACAGATGTGAAACAGGACAGTCACTGGTCCATGGATGCATACATGGAAGTGAAAACATGAGGACAGTCACTGGTCCATGGATGCACATACAGATGTGAAAACAGGACAGTCACTGGTCCATGGGTGCACATACAGATGTGAAACAGGACAGTCACTGGTCCATGGATGCACACATTGAAGTGAAAACATCAGGACAGTCACTGGTCCATGGATGCACACACAGATGTGAAACAGGACAGTCACTGGTCCATGGATGCACATACATGGAAGTGAAAACATGAGGACAGTCACTGATCCATGGATGCACATACAGATGTGAAACAGGACAGTCACTGGTCCATGGATGCATACATGGAAGTGAAAACATCAGGACAGTCACTGGTCTATGGATGCACATACAGCTGTGAAACAGGACAGTCACTGGTCCATGGATGCACACACAGATGTGAAACAGGACAGTCACTGGTCCATGGATGCATACATGGAAGTGAAAACATGAGGACAGTCACTGGTCCATGGATGCACACACAGATGTGAAAACATCAGGACAGTCACTGGTCCATGGATGCACATACAGATGTGAAACAGGACAGTCACTGGTCCATGGATGCACACACAGATGTGAAACAGGACAGTCACTGGTCCATGGATGCACATACAGATGTGAAAACAGGACAGTCACTGGTCCATGGATGCACACACAGATGTGAAAACAGGACAGTCACTGGTCCATGGATGCACACACAGATGTGAAACAGGACAGTCACTGGTCCATGGATGCATACATGGAAGTGAAAACATGAGGACAGTCACTGGTCCATGGATGCACATACAGATGTGAAAACATGAGGACAGTCACTGGTCCATGGATGCACACACAGATGTGAAACAGGACAGTCACTGGTCCATGGATGCACATACAGATGTGAAAACATCAGGACAGTCACTGGTCCATGGATGCACACACAGATGTGAAACAGGACAGTCACTGGTCCATGGATGTACACACAGATGTGAAACAGGACAGTCACTGGTCCATGGATGCACATACAGATGTGAAACAGGACAGTCACTGGTCCATGGATGCACACATTGAAGTGAAAACATCAGGACAGTCACTGGTCCATGGATGCACACACAGATGTGAAACAGGACAGTCACTGATCCATGGATGCACATACAGATGTGAAACAGGACAGTCACTGGTCCATGGATGCACACACAGATGTGAAACAGGGCAGTCACTGGTCCATGGATGCATACATGGAAGTGAAAACACGAGGACAGTCACTGGTCCATGGATGCACACACAGATGTGAAACAGGACAGTCACTGGTCCATGGATCCACACATTGAAGTGAAAACATCAGGACAGTCTCTGGTCCATGGATGTACTCATGGAAGTGAAAACATCACAACAGGCACTGGTCCATGGATGCACATACAGATGTGAAACAGTACAGTCACTGGTCCATGGATGTACACACAGATGTGAAACAGGACAGTCACTGGTCCATGGATGCACACACAGATGTGAAACAGGACAGTCACTGGTCCATGGATGCACATACAGATGTGAAAACATCAGGACAGTCACTGGTCCATGGATGCACATACAGATGTGAAACAGGACAGTCACTGGTCCATGGATGCACACACAGATGTGAAACAGGACAGTCACTGGTCCATGGATGCACATACAGATGTGAAACAGGACAGTCACTGGTCCATGAATGCACACACAGATGTGAAACAGGACAGTCACTGGTCCATGGATGCACATACAGATGTGAAAACAGGACAGTCACTGGTCCATGGATGCACACACAGATGTGAAAACAGGACAGTCACTGGTCCATGGATGCACATACAGATGTGAAAACAGGACAGTCACTGGTCCATGGATGTACTCATGGAAGTGAAAACATCAGGTGAGTCACTGGTCCCAGATGCACACACATTAGTGCAAAACCCAGGACAGTCAAGGGTCCACATACTCTATAAAAGGAACCTGACCTGTGTCATAGTGTTGTGGTCCATGCAGGCATCGGAGCTGATCATGAAGACATTGTCAATGTTTACCATGGCATCCTTTGCACGTTTATCCTTCAGGTCTAGCGCTCCCTGTTGTTGAGAAAGTAGATATGTTGAATATGACATTGTGTTGGACATGTGACAAGAACGTTATCATATCAATAAAATGTGTGAAAGATTGTTATGCTAAGATCACAGACACTATTCTCTAACATACCTTTGCAATGTCCTTTGCAACCTACCTTGATCATGAGGACTTCATCCGTTGTGAGATGTTCTTCATTTCCGGATCCATCCCCTGGTCCGTGCAGGTCCACCAGGACCTTCAGCTCTGCGCGCCTAAAGAAAGTGCCGTGATTGCTGCCCAGGGCACAGTCTAGGAGCTTGGACAGTGGCCAGCTCACAATGAAGAGCAGCCCCATCAGGATGTACACTACCCTGGGTGTGACAACATCCACACTGTGATTACTCCAGGAGATACAGTAACAGGCAGTATATACTGCATAACATCAGGTTAATATTGTCCTATTCTGAAGGAGATAAATAGATGTAATGCATGCAGTATATACTGGATAACACCAGGTTAATATTGTCCTATGCTCAAGGAATTACAATAGATGTAAAGCATGCAGTATATACTGGATAACACCAGGTTAATACTGTCCTATGCTCAAGGAATTACAATAGAAGTAATGCATGCAGTATATACTGGATAACACCAGGCTGATACTGTCCTGTGCTCAAGGAATTACAATAGAAGTAACGCATGCAGTATATACTGGATAACACCAGGCTGATACTGTCCTATGCTCAAGGAATTACAATAGAAGTAATGCATGCAGTATATACTGGATAACACCAGGCTGATACTGTCCTGTGCTCAAGGAATTACAATCGAAGTAACGCATGCAGTATATACTGGATAACACCAGGCTGATACTGTCCTGTGCTCAAGGTGATATAGTGGACATCCCATACTCACGGGGCAAGAGTTGAGCCAATCGCCAACCCAAACCTCGTACACAGGGCCTGGGGCACAACTCTGAAACACATATACAGTCTTGTGGCAGACTTAAAAAACAACAACTCTAAACAAAAATATCACAGTGATATAAAAAGACCTAGAAATGGGACATATATATACACACTTGATTTTGCACCTACCCATATATGATGATCTTATAATGGAGGGTGACAAAGGACCTGGATTTTATTTTATAAATCTGTTCGCAATTCTTTTTAATCGTTTTGAAGCACTGATTGAAAAGATACTTTGTCTCTATAACAAATGCCTCAGCTCCGAAATCCCCACAAGAAAGAATATGCAATTGTTGGTCCTGAGCAGAGCAGTAAGGTAAAGACACCGGAGCGCTTTTAGTGATGCAAAACTTGTCTTGGAGATTACACAGTTCCAGTTACCTGTCATTATATTGAAGAAGCTTTTTTGATATTGACACAAGCTGACAGCTTTGGGTCATATATGTTTGGCTAAAAAAATATTATACAGTCTGCTGCATGTTTTGTTTTTATTTCCATTTTAATTTTTTTAATAGAAATCCTAACACTTAAAAATAATGCCATCCATTATAGCACGCAGTTATTTCCCTTTACATGCACACTGCTTTACTGCGCATCTGCTGAATGGTAATGTGGCTATAGGATTTGTATGCTTGTTGATGTAGGAAGGCCCTTGCCCATGTGGATGGTACACAACTGTTTATTTGGGTTTCAACAAGCAAAAAAAGAAAACCAACGCCCACCCACCCACACTATATTTCCACAAGTCATTGCCTGAGAACCAATTCTTTTATTTTTGTATTTTTTATGACCTTCCCACAATCTAAACACGGGTCCATCGAAATACTTCATGTTCTAAACGTGACCATCCTGCCAGGTAGCTCCAACAGATACTCTACACACTATCAGAACTTACTCGCCAAAGATGAGGACAGCAGAGACCGAGACAGAAATCGCGATGATCGGGTCCGAGATCCGGTCTAAAAAGATGGGCATGGCTTCAACGGCAGCAGCATTAGCCAGGAGCAGCGTCACCAGTAGTAGATGATGTCGTTTGACAAGGGGCAGTATCCTTCGAGCATACTTCTGTTCCCTAGTCGTGCCTCCGTCCTTCAGGATGTTGAGGGTCATAAGGTCAAGTGACAGCAGGCCCATTGTCAATCCGGACACCAGGCCTGAATACAGAGGTCATTATACAAACTGAAAGTTGGTTGTTTGGTTGGTTTGTTGTTTAAAGCCGCACTCAGCAATATTCCAGCTATATGACCGCGGTCTGTAAATAATCGAGTCTGGACCAGACAATCCAGCGATTAATATCATGAGCATCCATCCACGTGTTGGCACTGATGGAATATAATTCAGGGGAATATTGAGCCTGGATGAGACAATACAGTAAAAGATATCATGAGCATTGATCCATGTTATTTGAAATCGGTGACTGCATCAACTGTCACCAAGTCTGACCACCTGATCCATTTAGTCGCCACTCACAACAAGCAATAGGTTGCTGGGAACATATAATATGAACCTGGAATCTGCTTGGGTTCTTTGGAACTATTAACACCTCACAATAATAATCTGAGGCTGAGAATGTTATGGCGTATGCCGCAAAAAGACGAAAACCTATAGAACATGTTCCTAGTTAAAAAAGAATGTGATTTTAAGTCGAATTACTGAAAAAAATAAAAAAATAAAAAATATAAAAAGGAATGCGTTCCGTACACCATTAGGTTTTTAGAATGTTGAATCTGAATTTCAAATATGATTTTTTTAGCATCCTGCATATGACACTGCTGATCAAATTCCCTCTAAATATATCCCTCAATCCCACGTACGATAGCCTCACTGTCTCCCTCTGATTAATGTGGTAAACTTTCTGGAAAATGTGCTTATTGTGCATGTACTTTCTATTCAGATACCCATAAGGCCATATTTCAATTACCCATAAGCCCACAGATGTTTTAGAAAGCTATTACAAATAGAAAAAGTAGTTATTCGTTTGAATGCAATGTCCGTTCACTAGTTTCACATTTTTTAAAGTTTCATTATTGTTTTTGCCTCAAATGTGTTTACCTCCCCTACTATGATCATTTACACCGTTGGTACCTTTAGGAATAAGCTTGGTAGACAGATCAGAGTCTCCCTTTCATTATTGTGACAAATTTTCCAACACATTTTATAAACTTAGGGGTTTCGTTAAAAAGTAGTGTTTTACGCCAATTTTAGCAATATTCCAGCAATATCACGGCGGGGGGACATCAGAAATGGGTTTCACACATTGTACCCATGTTGGGAATCGAACCCAGGTCTTCGGCGTGAAGAGCGAACGCTTTAATCACTAGGCTACCCCACAGCCGTTTTAATAAAACAGAACAACTAACAACATAATGGTAATATGTAAAACACATACATTATACCAACACTGAATATTCCAGCTGTATGATGGCTGTCAGTAAATAATCGAGTCTGGACCAGATAATCCAGTGATTGACATCATAAACATGACATGGATCAACCAAGTAAGCAAGCCTGACCACCCAATCCCGTTAGTCGCCTCTAACGACAAGCATAGTCGCTTTCTACGGCAAGCATGGATTGCTGAAGACCTATTCTACCCCGGATCTTCATAGGTTGATTGTAGACAAAATTTGAAATGCATGAATTACCTGTATACAATTACCAATAAACCCCATTGTGCCTACAGACTTTTTACAGAATTATTACATGGCCGCCGTAAAAGTAAGAATGAATGCGTGAATATTCAGAAAGAAATGTGAACCTTAGCAACTTGCAGTGTAAGATTGAAGTAGTTTAGCTGTTACTGTCACTAAACAATATATCACGTAACTAAAGTACCTGAGTTACCCATTCAAGCACTAATGGACAGCTAAAATGTTGTAGCCAAGTACATGTCACCATTGGGGTTACATGTCTACTTTCTACTATTAGATGTCACGACAGTGCCTAGTAGGCCTACTGATTAGATTTGTTTGTTTGTTTGCTGCTTATTCCAGCTATATGACGGCAGTCTGTAAATAATCAAGTCAGGACCAGACAATCCAGTGATTGACCTCATGAGCATTGATCCACGCAATTGGGATACGATGACATGCATCAACCAAGTCAGCGAGCCTGACCACCCGATCCAGTTGGTCGCCTCTTACGACAAGCATAGTTCCTGAAGACCTTTTCTACCCCGGATCTTCACGGGTCCTACTGATTAGAAATACCAGGGACAGGTGTAGCCGAGAGCCGCGATGGGTCCTACAGTTAAGACATGACACTACATATAAAATTACTAAATTACTTCTACATCATCTACTGCTGGCTAATTGCTAAATAAATAGACTTCCCATTTGCCCTTAAAAAAACTCTCAAGAGTACAGAAGTCGTTGTTCAAGTCGCGGCCTGTCAGCCGACGGGAGGGCGTAGCCCCTGTCACCGTACCTGCAGTGAGCACCAGCCCAACGTAGATGGCCAGATACACCCAGAACATTTTGTCATGGATGGTGAGGCGTGCCTCGGGCACCGTGTACAGCGTCCCATTGCACAACACACCATCCAGTACCTCTGTGCAGTTTATAAACATCGCCATGCTGGAGTGACACGGTCAGAGTTATCCGCCCTTGTTCCGGTGTTGTTTGTGACATTGTAGTGGCGCTTCCATTACTTTTATCACTTCACTCTGCCAACAGAGAGCGCAGGCTGGACTAACATCTAGTCTCTGAAAAGAATATATTTTACAGATACAAACTGTTGTTAGATTATAGCTATAAAAATATTACAAAAATTAGCCTAGAGACTCTCTCCAATTTTAGACACTGCAGTAATCTAAACTTGCCAAATATTGTAAACTTGCGTGGGCTACATTAAATACATTTGTTTCAGGACGCAGGTATAGCGGTCCGGCTGGGACGAGTCCAAATTTACTACCCGGGTACCAAACCCCCAGGGTTCTACTTTAGGTCCCAAGAGATACAAAATGTTCTATTGGGATTTTTTTACCATAGCCCTGGCAAAACATAATTATTTAGATACATGTATTAAACAATCTGGCCATGCATACACTGAAGTTGACCTAAGTTATATCTTTCTTCAACCATATGAAAAGTCAGAAGGAATGGGTGCATAGACAGAAAGAAATGCGAACATTAATGACTTGTAGTGTGACCATAGAGATCTAGATACTTTTTGTCATTAAACAATATATCACGTGACTAACCAAGGATCCGGGTAGTCCTGTGGGTACCCGGGTCCTACTCAGTACCCACCCGACCCGGGTACCCGAGTTTCCCGTCCCAGCCCTACAAAGCAGTGTCTTTTTTTCCAGACATGACGGAAAGAGTCAAACGTGGGATTGTCGTCACTTTTCAAACAACAAGCAACCAACATGCACGTGCTTGTCCTGTTGTGACGAAATGTGAACATTGTACCTGTACACACATACTCTTCAAGGATTACTCAGAAGTGGATTGTATGAAAGTATACCGAGTTTCTATGTTTATGTAATTAAAACATATGTTGTTAAATTTGATTATGTCTGTTTAACCATCACTTATTTCTGCAACAGTTTGTAAAAAGTAATCTGTGACTGGGTAATTTTGTGTAAAAACAAAATGGTTCAATGATTGTTGTTGGTTTGTTGTTTAACGCCAATATTCCAGCTATATGACGGCGGTCTGTAAATAATGGAGTCTGGACCAGACAATCTAGTGATTGATATCATGAGCATCGATCCACGCAATTGGGATCGATGACATGCAGCAACCAAGTCAGCGAGCCTGACCACCCGATCCCGTTAGTCGCCTCTTACGACAAGCATAGTCACCTGTTACGGCAAGCATGGGTTGCTGAAGACCTATTCTACCCCGGATCTTCACGGATCTGGTTCAATGAAGACTGGGAAGGAAATGAATTTGCAACCACGTGACCCTTACGATGTTTGAAATGGTGTAAATGTATTAATTTTTAAGATCAGATTCTAAGATGCTCATCAACATCAACTTTTTTAAAATAAATTCTAAAAGGTTTAAATTAAATTATATCTAAAAAATAAAAACATGTGGAATTAATCTAAGTTTTTTTTGGATAAAATATCGCTGTTAAAATATCTTCAATTGAAAATACAGTTAACTACGGTTATAACGAACACGCTTATAACGAACTGACGGAAAAAAACCGAATACATGTTGGTCCCGGCCATTGCTGTATATATGCTTATAACGAACTACGGTTATAACGAACTAAAATTAGCAGTCCCTTTGAGTACTGTCTATTGAACATATATGATATGCGATTTGTAGTTTCTTTTGCTCCTCGGTTTAAAAACCTGGAACACAAGTAAGGACATGTGACTGTATATTTCCATAAAAAAAGAGACATTTAAAAAAATAGTATCTTGTATTTCTTATGAAATGAAACATATTTGTTTTTGTTTTACAACGTGACAAACTCATATTGAAATGGAGAAACCGAAATCGATTATAACATATTTTGTAACTTTTCCATCGCAGCAGTATTGAACTTCCCTTTCAACTGTACCTGTGCATCTTCACATAACATCATGTGACCCAGTCCTTGTGACTTGATGGAGGGACACTGAGTTCTTATACCAACTTATTTTTGTTTGTTTGTTGTTTAACGCCGCACTCAGAAATATTCCAGCTATATGACGGCTGTCTGTAAATAATGGAGTCTGGACCAGACAATCAAGTGATTGACATCATGAGCATCCATCCATGCAATTGGGATACGATGACATGCATCAACCAAGTAATTTAAGCGAGCCTGACAATCCGATCCCGTTTGTCGTCTCTTACGACAAGCATGGTCGCCGTTTACAGCAAGCATGGGTTGCTGAAGACCTATTCTAACCCGGATCTTCATGGATTAGTGATATTACTGAAACACCGTACCCTTATCAGTAGGGCTTCAAAGAGTACTCGAGTACACGGGCATGGGCCGAGTCCAGTTAGAAGGACTAGAGTACTCGACCAAGGGAGATAACTCTAATTTGGACATGGCGTGTGTTACATTGAGATGTAAACGATTTCTTTTCCCAAGTTGACAAATTCTATTTCAATGAAGCTTCAGCGAATCAGCATACAAATTCCAAAGGTATCTTATCTGATACGCGATCGTATTGGTTTTCTTAGTGACTCTTTCATTTTGTATACGCTAGGATAATTGCCAATTTTATTGAACAGATGAATAATTGCGGGTACTCTAGCACGAGCCGAGTCTTACCCCGGCATCTTCCCGAGGCAAGAGAGTTACCTGACTTTAAAAGTCCAGTTCCCACCCTTGCCGAACTAGGCTGGAATTCCTGGGCTCGATCGTAGCGCCACCAGTGGCTATTACGAGTTGTGTCCTTTCTATGCCTCTGCTATTGACCAATCAGATTCAACCTCTCGTATCACTTGCATTTGCTTCAAACAAAACGGTGGCGCCCAGTCAAGACGATCTGATAGAAAATTATGATCTATATTGTGATTAAACGAGTCTTACATTGCGAAGTGCATCGAATAATATGAGCACCTTGATTAAAAACAAGAAAATATTTAGAAAATATCTGTTGACAACGAGTTAGCGGTGCATATGCTTTGCAAATCCTGCAGTCGACCGAAATCTGCATGAGACTTTACGAACCGGATTTCGATTTCAGTGCGCGATTTTGATTGGAATATGCATAGACTCGTTAGTCCAGCCACAATGTAACTCCATAATACCAGCCTAGTTCGGCAAGGGTGGAAACTGGACTTTTATAGTCAGTTAACTCACTTGCCTCGGGAAGATGTACCCCGGGTACCCGAGTCCATATTTTTGGACCCGTTGAAGCCCTACATATTGGTGTACAGTTTCAGTGATAGTAAGTTCAGAATAATATCGACGCAAACCTGCACATCAGACTCACATGTTACATCACGTCCATCCATCTTGTCAATTTCAAAATGTTCTATCACGTGACCAGAGGAGATACTCACTTGGAACAGACTTGAACTGAGGGCAGGAGATAGCACAATGCTGTTAAGTAATAATTCCCATTTCTCCTCACAATAATGACGTGAGACTTCATCAGGACATAGAACAAAGTCATCACCTGGGTGATCCTAAAACCTTAGGGGTGGTCGGGTAGCCTAGTGGTTAAAGCGTTCGCTCGTCACGCCGAAGACCCGGGTTCGATTCCCGACATGGGTACAATGTGTGAAGCCAATTTCTGGTGTCCCCCGCAGTGATATTGCTGGAATATTGCTAAAAGCGGCGTAAAACCATACTCACTCACTCACTCCTAGAACCTTAAGTCAATGTGGACCAAAAGTGGAGATAGAACAAGCTCGTGTGTTATATGCACCCCTAATTATGGGCAATTAAATTCTTGAAAAATATATCTGTCATATATAAACATTTCATGTATAAATAAAGAGACTAATATGGCTCATGCGTTTCATTAATATAACAACCCTGCTTCAGGGGAGTGTGTGCTGTACGTAAATGAACTAATTTGTATGAATGTTAAATGTGATTCTGAAAGGGACCACTAGCCCCATTGATCCACGTATGTGGTAGGTCACACAATTGATATGATTGTCCCATAGAAGTATTTTTCTCAAATAAATCGATGTAACTAGTGAACTTGGAAAGAAAACATCGTAACAATTCAATGGTGGGTTATTCATTCAGCTAACTGACTCGCGTACAGCCCCGCATATCTCTTTTTTCACATCACAAAGCCACCAGGAAGTATTTCTCTCCATGCTGAACGATTTGCGCAGCGACACACTGAGGTAACGGCGGTACCCTACGAGAAACTACCCATCCCGATACCCTCGCCAACCCAGGTCAGTAAAGCGCTTAGTAGATATTTTATATATGTCCTATAAGCGCTTCATGAAACACACTCCTCATCATATGTGTAACAGGACGATACTATGATGTCGTGTGCGTTTCAAATAAACGTTTTGCAGTGATAATATTTGATGTCGTCACAATAGAGACACAGCGCACCTGCCCTGCCTTAACTCACTATGGTGTTAGCCCTACATACATACGTGTTAGTGACGTCTATACCTTAACATAAAGTTGCGGGTTTGACCCCAATGACTGTGTTGTTAATTTGGCTGTTGTGATCATGGACACTGTGTTGTGGTATTGACTGTTGCCGTCCAAGAGACTGTGTAGTGGTATTGACTGTTGTAGTCCAAGAGACTGTGTTGTGGTCCAAGAGACTGTGTAGTGGTATTGACTGTTGTGGTCCAAGAGACTGTGTAGTGGTATTGACTGTTGTAGTCCAAGAGACTGTGTTGTGGTCCAAGAGACTGTGTAGTGGTATTGACTGTTGTGGTCCAAGAGACTGTGTAGTGGTATTGACTGTTGTAGTCCAAGAGACTGTGTTGTGGTCCAAGAGACTGTGTTGTGGTCCAAGAGACTCTGTTGTGGTCCAAGAGACTGTGTTGTGGTCCAAGAGACTGTGTAGTGGTATTGACTGTTGTGGTCCAAGAGACTGTGTTGTGGTATTGACTGTTGTAGTCCAAGAGACTGTGTTGTGGTCCAAGAGACTGTGTAGTGGTATTGATCGTTGTAACGTGATCATAGAGATTGTGTTGATACAATGACTGTCTTAATCCTAGAGAATGTGTTGTTATATTGACTGTTGTGATCATAGAGATTGTGTTGTTATATTGACTGTTGTGATCATAGAGATTGTGTTGTTATATTGACTGTTGTGATCATAGAGATTGTGTTGTTATATTGACTGTTGTGATCATAGAGATTGTGTTGTTATATTGACTGTTGTGATCATAGAGATTGTGTTGTTATATTGACTGTTGTGATCATAGAGATTGTGTTGTTATATTGACTGTTGTGATCATAGAGATTGTGTTGTTATATTGACTGTTGTGATCATAGAGATTGTGTTGTTATATTGACTGTTGTGATCATAGAGATTGTGTTGTTATATTGACTGTTGTGATCATAGAGATTGTGTTGTAAAATTGACTGTTGAGGTCCTAGAGATTATCTTGTTATATTGACTGTTGTGGTCTAAGAGGCTGTGTTGTGGTATTGTTGCTGCGGTCCTAGGGAGTGTGTTGTTATATTGACTGTTGTAACGTGATCCTGGAAATTGTGTTGTTATATTGACTGTTGTGGTCCTAGAGACTGTGTTGTTATATTGACTATTGTAACGTGATCCTGGAGATTGTGTTGTTATATTGACTGTTGTGGTCCTAGAGATTATCTTTTTATATTGACTGTTGTAACGTGATCCTAGTGATTGTGTTGTTATATCGACTGTTGTAACGTGATCCTGGAGATTGTGTTGTTATATTGACTGTTGTGGTCCTAGAGACTGTGGTGTTATATTGACTATTGTAACGTGATGTTAGAGATTGTGTTGTTAGATTGTTGTGGTCATAGCAACGGTGTAGATTTTTCTTATCATTTTGATCCAATATATTGTATGGTGATATTAAATATTTTGACTCAAGAGATTTTCCACGTTGTTATGGTTTATAGTGTTATGCTATGTTTTTTGTTTGTTTCAGCAGTACAAAAGAAGATATGTCGGTAAGTCTGCTGCGCTCTTCTACAAGTTGTAAGTACAACTCACAACACATATTTATGCTGCGGTATTAGTGGATTAACTACCACACGAAAACGTTATGAAGAGCAACACACAAGACGAACCTGGAATTCGAAATCACGATCATTGGTTTCTGGCGAGCCAAAGGAGGCAACTCCGACCGCGAATTCCAGTACCTTAGGCGACTTGGGCACCAGAGTTCAAACTGGAATGCGTGAAACGTGATAGAATGGCTAGATAGTAGGTTGAACAGGATGCTGATCAACGTCTCGGATGTGTGTTAGAAAACAGTAGATTGCTGGTGTAGAGTAAGAAACGTGACAATGTTCTGGTACGGTGTTGAGTCGTCCCACTTCACATGGTAGAAAGGAGCTCGGTTTCGGTTCCTCTCATACTCACGGTGACTTAACACTGCCCCAAAAAGTGGTCACTTGCTCCCTCAGCTGTTGTGGTACCATACTATTTACCATCACTTCAGAAAAAAACTCTCTTTAGCCCCTTTAGTCTTTATGTCACTGCTACATGGACAATCGGGTGATGCTGAAATTATACTTAGCTGTGTACATTGAACAAGACCATACATACTGCACACTTGTGCCATCTCCTTCAGAGTGACGGAGCTGGGGTCTCTGGAGATACTGGCAGTCACAGTCAGGAACAGGAGGAGGCATGTTTTCCGGGTAGGTATAGATATAGACACTGTACAAAAACGAGGAGATATCACTTGCGGGTAGGTGCTGATATAGACATTGGAACGACTTTCAAATGGAGGCTTCAAACCAGGCAGGTGGAGATGTAGACATGGTTCCGAAACGAGGAGACATTACTTGCGGGTAGGCGCAGATATAGACACTGGAACGACATTCAAATGGAGGCTTCAAACCAGGTAGGTGTAGATAAACAGGGTTCCGAAACGAGGAGACATTACTTGCGGGTAGGCGCAGATATAGATACTGGAACGACATTCAAATGGAGGCTTCAAACCAGGTAGGTGTAGATAAACAGGGTTCCGAAACGAGGAGACATTACTTGCGGGTAGGTGCAGATACAGACAGGGTACGAAAACGAGGAGGCATTATTTCCGGATGGGTGTAGATATAGACAGGATACCAAAATGAGGAGACATTACATGCGGGTAGGTGCAGATATAGAGATTGGAACGACATTCAAATGGAGGCTTCAAAACAGGTAGGTGTAGATAAACAGGGTTTCGAAACGAGGAGACATCACTTACGGGTAGGTGCAGATATAGACAAACCAGTGAAACAACGGTATTACTGTTTCCAGATCGTGATGATACATGATGCACATCGTATCCCAATTGCGTGGATCGATGCTCATGATGTCAATCACTGGATTGTCTTGTCCAGGCTCGATTATTTACAGACCGCCGTCATATAGCTGGAATATTGCTGACTACGGCGTTAAACAACAAACAAAAGAACATGGTGCACATGATGTAGACATCCGTGTAATATACATATATATGTTTAATTTAACCAGGTTATAAAAATGGATGTAATGAGAGGCAAATCTAATCTTATCTCAATGCTACCACCCAGAACAAATCCATGAATTATTTTGTGATAATTTTATTGCATATGAAGCTTGGTTCCGGAAGTCTGTTCCGGAAAACCGACAACGACAAAAGTTGACCCAGAAGTCACTGATGATGCTCGTCCGTTTTATTGGCGGAAACTGGGAGTTTGTGGCAATGGAACTCGACATAACTCCTGCCCAGATAGAGAAGTTTAAGAAGGCAAATCCGGGATCCCCTGACTCGCAAATGATGAATGTATTCCTGAAATGGCTGCAGGCGAGAGGATCCGAAGCTACTCTAGAAGCGTTTGTCCGAGTTCTGTGGAAGTGCAATAACCTCTGTACAGTGGACTGGGATGGTATAGAGAAGATCCTCATCAACGGAAACAATATGGACTAGACACGCTTTAGGAACCGTGAACAAATGAAACAGTCAATGTTTTGTTGTTCACAGGCGTAACTTGTATGCGAAAGAGGTATAATAAGATATGAAAACAGTTCTGTTTCAAGTGGTGTTTGATAATAAATTGTCGTCATTTTTATACGCCTGCTTCTTATGGTTGTTTTATTTTAAGTTTCATAGTACAATACATGAGTTCCTGGAAGGGTTTCCCAAACAAAATGAGAGAGGTGGTAGGTTATGTAGGGCCAATGGTGGAACTCAGATCATTTGTGTGTGTGTGTGTGTGTGTGTGTGTGTGTGTGTGTGTGTGTGTGTGTGTGTGTGTGTGTGTGTGAGAGAGAGAGAGAGAGAGAGAGAGAGAGAGAGAGAGAGAGAGAGAGAGAGAGAGAGAGAGAGAGAGAGAGAGAGAGAGAGAGAGAGAGAGAGAGACTTGGTTTAACTCCGCATTTTAGCCCGGGAAAATGGCCCGGGCTGTCAAAATCAACTTAAACCTCACATATGTATCATCAAATGGATTCACATCTATAGATTAGTATTATATCCACCTAAATACCACTTTATAGTGTCTCAGATCGCTGTAATTAAAGAAAACAAGGTGCTCAAAGTAAATCCCTTTTTCCTCTACATTCTCAACATAGTCTCTATCAACAGTGTTTGTCTTGTGTTGGGTCCGGCTTGGCCCGGGCTGTCAAAATCAACTTTAAACACACAGACGTATCTTCAAATGTGTTTACACCAATAGATTAGTGTTATATCTACCTATATACCACTTTATAATGTCACAGTTTATCGTATTTAAAGAAAACAAGGGGCTCAAAGTGAAGCATTTCTACTGTATTTTCTTAAGAAAATCTATGTCAGAAGTGTTCGGTCCGACTTGGCCCGGGCTTTCAAAATCAACTTTAACCTCACAGATATATCATCAAATGGATTCACATCTATAGATTAGTATTATATCCACCTAAATACCACTTTACAGTGTCTCAGATCGCTGTAATTAAAGAAAACAAGGTGCTCAAAGTAAAGCCCTTTTTCCTCTACATTCTCAACATAGTCTCTATCAGAAGTGTTTGGCTTGTGTTGGGTCCGACTTGGCCCGGGCTGTCAAAATCAACTTTAAACACACAGACGTATCTTCAAGTGTGTTTACATCTATAGATGAGTGTTATATCTTCCTATATACCACTTTATAATGTCACAGTTTATCGCATTTAAAGAAAACAAGGGGCTCAAAGTGAAACCCTTTCCCCTCTACATTCTCAACATAGTCTCTATCAGAAGTGTTTGGCTTGTGTTGGGTCCGACATGGCCCGGGCGGTCAAAATCAACTTTAAACACACAGACGTATCTTCAAATGTGTTTACATCTATAGATGAGTGTTATATCTTCCTATATACCACTTTATAATGTCACGGTACATCGTATTTAAAGAAAACAAGGGGCTCAAAGTGAAGCATTTCTACTGTATTTTCTTGTCAGAAATGTCAGAAATGTTGGGTCCGACTTGGCCCGGGCTGTCAAAATCAACTTTAAACACACAGATCTATCTTCAAATGTGTTTACATCCATAGATTAGTGTTATATCTACCTATGTACCACTTTATAAAGGCACAGTTTATCGCATTTAAAGAAAACCATGAGTTCAAAGTGAAGCCCTTTTTCCTCTACATTCTCAACATGACTACTATTATGTCTACCTATATAACACTTAATAATGTTGCACGATAACTTAAAGAAAACTGGTCTGTTAAAGTCGAGCACTTTCACTGTATCTTCTCAAGAAAATTTCACCAAATGTGTTGGAGTGAAGTATACTCTTTAAAGTGAAGCCCCTTTTTCATGCTATGTGTCTGGTCGGAAAATCCCTTGCTTTTACCTAATCCGTCGTGGGTTTTTTCAAGGATCATACTCACAGGGTATGGAGAAGGTAAGGTGAGACTTTGCATTTCAGGATAAACCTCTCCCTCGACCCTGCTTAATGCTTCTATTATCTATGAGTGTGTTTAGGAAAACAGGATTATCTGAGAGGGTTGTAATCTGCCATACCGCATGCATGCTGCATCTCCGAGCAGCTCGTTCTGTGAAAACACACTTCTCCTGAACCTGACTTGGACCACTCAGTATTATTGTCGTGATGGTTAATAGACGCCATAAATTAAAGTTCTCTATATATCTAGCAACCTTTTTTTATATAAGCAACCCCTAAAGCCCACACACACCACTTTCGCACCTTTCGGAAACACATGAAATGGCCGGGCCGGGCCCGTGTGCGAAATACGCATCAGTCGGAAAGCGCACGTTAAATCTCCAAAGTAAGTAAGTAAGTAAGTAAGTAAGTAAGTAAGTAAGCAAATATGAATATATACAATTTAATATATATGTTTCTGTTATGTCATGGTATGTTGATTCTGAATCTAAAATATTGCTTGATATTGTTTGCCAAACAGTTGTATGCACTGTCCACCGTGATACTTCTACGTAAGTATATAAAAAAGGATGTTTGTTTAGACATGCGTTCATTGTAAACAACGCCGTGTTTTCATTTGCTGGTTAGCTTTTACAGGTCAAAAGCAAAGTTAATCGCATTACTTTCGTGACGCATTTTAGGCCTGTCATACAGTTCCTGAAACAAATATATCCAATACAGCCGATGCAAGTCAATCATATTTGGCAAGACTAGACTACTGCAGTTATATATTTTATCAATATAATCAAACAATTGTTTTTATTTTTGTAAAATATGTTCATTTCAAAAATAGATGTTAGTCTAGCAAGCGGTGTAAACTCGCATTAATTTGGTTACACGTTTCATGATTTACAGTATTCGTGAAGAATATGTAACAATTAGCCACACTTAGAGCCTTTGGTAGGAGTAGAGGGAATGATAAGCATAGACTTGCTAAGTATTTTATGATATTCATGATAGCTCAAAAGAAACTTTGATTTATGTTTGTAGTACACCCCAAAAATAGGGATAACACAAGTGATATATTAAGATGACATACAACTTATACATACTTACGTGTATAAACTACTATCAAACAGTGAGGATAACAGGTGTTTGCATAGAGGTGAGCGTAACCTGCACCACTGGTGGAACAAACACACGCAAAGGCAAGTTAGTTGTTAAACCCGATTAGCACAAGTCAAAACAGAGACTTTCATCGGACATAACTCCATTTGCTACTTCTGTGGTAGTCACCAATCAACCCATTTATACTTCCAAAAATAGCTTTAACCCTTTTAAAGCTTTTGAGAAATTCAACAGTATGGGTTTGGTCTGACAAAGCAAGAAGCACAAATGGGGCATGTTTCGGCCAATGATTAGAGTATTCTTGCAAGTCTAAGGGTCCAACAGGAGTTATTTCTGCGACATGCTATTTCAAAACCCAAAATTCAGAGGGATATATATGAAAAGAAAAATTGAAATAATACAAATATATATTCCTTCCAGGTGAAGGCTATCACTTGAAATCAAATTAACAAAGCAGATTTTAGTCAATGACACATCTTTTGGAATAGAAGTTCATCTCTGTCACCATGTTATGGTATTTCTGGAAAGGAAAGTTAACTTACAAAGTTGTAATATACGTGAAAGGCTTAATGTTGCTGATTAAGCGCAAAGATATAAACTCTAACTGAATGCTCAGTAACATTCATGTAATATTAGTAATATTCAAATAAGTGTACTTGTTCTAGGTGTGTGTGACGTGGATACATATATCTAAGCGTATAGAAGAAACGTCAACAAACTTGTAACTATGTATAAAATAATAAATAAGCCATGTCCTTCATATGTAACTGATCTTATACCACCAGCTGTGTCACAGAAGGTCAGTTATAACCTCAGAAACTGCCATGATTTTGTAGTTCCATTTGCACGGACATCTACGTTTAAAAGGTCTTATATTATAGATACATTAGGCCAATGGAATAATCTATCAACAGGAATCAGGGATAGTCCGTCAATATCTTATTTTAAAGCTGTCGCATCTGAGCAGCCTACATCACCACCTATGCACTATAATTGCGGTGAGAGATCTACAAACATATTGCACACTAGATTGAGACACATTTGTAGCACACTAAATTCCAACCTGTTTCCTGTTAATTATCTGATACTATTTCCTATAAACGCGGAGCTCCTTGTGAAAATTCATTCCATTTCTTCTTCCAATGTACCTTATATGATGACATTAGGGAGACATTACTGACAGCTATCGATAATCTTGGAGGACAAAAAACTCTAAATAGTATTCTTTTTTGTGATCCAAACTTAGATGTTTTCCTGAATACAAAAATATTCTTGTCTGTACACAAATTTATAGAAACGACTAACAGATTCAGTAGCTAGCATATTATTGTTTCCAAACTGTTAATCATTAATATTGTTAAATCTATATACAACACTAACATGTATAATGTTAGCATATGTATGAGATGCACGCTGTCTTCACTTTCCAGCACATTGTACATATCCTTCATATGAGCACTGTATATAAATTTATATTGCGCACTATGTTTCCACAATGTGATGCTTCAACTGTAAATTGTTAATTTTCATTATGCAATATTATGTATAACTGTATATAGGGAGAAGGTGGTAATAAGTGCTGCACTTGTGCCCAATCCCTTTGTCTTTTTTGACAATACAATATGTTTAATAATAATAATAATAATAATAATAATAATAATAATAAACCAATGTATTATGATCAGGGTCCATTGGTATCCCTTCAGCAAGTGCGAATCAGGTCCTAACACATTTTTTGTTTTGTCATGTATCACGCGCTATACAATCGAACCTCGCTTATCCGGACAATTGCTTTTTCTAAAATTTTGTCAGGATAAACGAGTTTCTGGATATCTGAATACCTTGTTATCTGACCAGAAGTCCTTTCCCTACCTCAATTCTACCGAGGCATATGTGAAATGAATGGCAAAAATATGATTTATGAAGGATCGACCAATTACTAATAAAATACATAGTGCTGTACAGACCTACGCAGCATGCTGTGACAGCGCACTGCATTATTGAAACGGCTGAAGAAATGCAAATGTAGCCTAGTTTAGACTATGCACTTATTTTGTATACAGATACGACGGCGAGGTTGGGGCAACCTGACACACATGAGCATTAATAGCCATGTTTACCTGTACTAGTTGAGAGCCAAGGTTGAAGTCATTCATGTGTGAAAAATGTTGTCGAGGCATCTGTAAACGGCTAAAGAAATGCAAATGTAGCCTAATTTAGACTATGCACTTGCTTTGTGTACAGATGTGACGGCGAGGTAAGGGCAACCTAACACACATGAGCATTAATAGCCATGTTTACCTGTACTTGTACTTGACTGCCAAAAATGCTGTCGAGGCATCTGTACATCTTCTTTGTCGAATTGCATTATTAAAGTACATCAAGATGAGACATCATATACATTCATATATATTTGCTGAGCACGAAACCTTGAAGTGTAGCCAGGACATTTCCAAGAAACTATGGGCGGCCATGTAGCTTCAATATCTTATAAATTATATCACTGAACATAGGTCATAGATGTATTCAGTAAACAAAGATCTGAAGCGCTGTATTTCCTTCATCGAACACACTATGCGTTCATCACAGTTTGTGGCAGATTACGGATACGAACGAACTAGCACTTGTTTGGCAGGTGGGTTTTGCTAAGATTTGTTATCTTGTTCTCTCTCTACCCTCTACTTCCTTAATCACAATTTAAATCCTAAATAGACTTTCGGGCCTAACACTGTGGCAATTTTAGACCCTCTGTTTCTGTATTTACTTGAGCTCATTTCCCCTAAGGTTTACACATCTCATAAGACTAAGTCATCAATGATGTCAAAGCTGTCTGACATGTTTCTTATGAACAGTTTATGAAGCTAAACAATGTCCAAGTGACTTAAGCACAAAAATACGCGAACACTTCTGACATAGAATTTCTTAAGAAAATACAGTAAAAATGCTTCACTTTGAGCGCTTTGTTTTCTTTAAATACGATGTACCGTGTCATAATAAAGTGGTATTTAGGTAGATATAATACTAATCTAAACATATGAATCCATTTGATGATACATCCGTGAGGTTTAACTTGATTTTGACAGTCCGGGCCAAGTCGGACCCAACACAAGACAAACACTTCTGATAGAGACTATGTTGAGGATGTAGATGGAAAAGGGCTTCACTTTGAGCCCCTTGTTTTCATTAAGTACAGCGATCTGAGACACTAAAAAGTGGTATTTAGGCGGATATAATACTAATCTATAGATGTGAATCCATTTGAAGATACGTCTGTGTGTTTAAAGTTGATTTTGACAGCCCGGGCCAAGTCGGACCCAACACAAGACAAACACTTCTGATAGAGACTATGTTGAGAATGTAAAGGGAAAAGGGCTTCACTTTGATCCCCTTGTTTTCTTTAAGTACAACGATCTGAGACACTATAAAGTGGTATTTAGGTAGATATAATACTAATCTAAAGATGTGAATCCATTTGATGATACATCTGTGAGGTTTAAAGTTGATTTTGACAGCCCGGGCCAAGTCGGACCGAACACTTCTGACATAGAATTTCTTAAGAAAATACAGTGAAAATGCTCCTTGAGCCCCTTGTTTTCTTTAAATACGATGTACCGTGACATAATGAAGTGGTATTTATGTAGATATAATACTAATCTAAAGATGTGAATCCATTTGATGATATATCTGTGAGGTTGAGGTTGATTTTGACAGGCCTGGCCAAATCGGACCGAACACTTCTGACATAGATCTTCTTAAGAAAATACAGTGAAAATGCTTCACTTTGAGCCCCTTGTTTTCTTTAAGCACAGCGTTCTGAGACACTATAAAGTGGTATTTAGGTAGATATAACACTAGTCTATAGGTGTAAACACATTTAAAGATAGATCGGTGAGGTTTAAGTTGATTTTGACAGCCCGGGCCAAGTCGGACCGAACACTTCTGACCGAGATTTTCTTAAGAAAATACAGTAAAAATGCTTCACTTTGAGCACCTTGTTTTCTTTAAATACGATGTACCGTGACATAAAAACGTAGTATTTAGGTAGATATTATACTAGTTTATAGATGTGAATCCATTTGATGATACATATGTGAGTTTAAAGTTGATTTTGACAGCCCGGGCCAAGTCGGACCGAACACTGTGTGACTGTTGAGAGTATAGGGAGAAGAGGTCTACTTTAACCAACTTGTCTGCTTTAAACACGACGATCAGTGACATTATAAAGTGGTATTTACTTATATATAGAACGTTCCTATAAATATAAACACTATGCTCACAGATGGAAATTTGTATCACGATAGCTAGAAGTATTTGATACTTTTCAAATCTTACTTCATTTAACGATTGCTCTTTTACATGTTACCAAGATCAGCGACGCTTACACACTGCTCCACTTTCTGGTTTTCAAGCGATTTACTCCGAATTACTTATTTATGGTGCACTTTTTTGTTTGGTGATTGTTCATTAATGTCATGTGTGTATGTTGCATCAATTATATGTAGGTATGATCGCCGATAATGAAGTAAATAGCCAGTGACACTTTCGCCCGTCTTGGCCCGGCCCGGCCCGACTTTTAGGCAATGCCGAAATGAACTGCGCATTAACTAAATCGTTGCTGAGTATAACCAAACAAGGATACTTTTGACATTTGATTCTCTGTTCGGGAGAGTTCGGGACATTCAGTTGGTGCGTATCTGCATATTATACATTCGGTTGAATTGTGAGCTAGTTTGGTTTAACGTCGCTGCGAACAGTGATTCAGTAATATAACAACGTGTCAGATTGATGTGGGAGGAAAGCAGCGATATGGTGCTGAAAAACCAAGAAACATAATCAGGACGAATATGGGACTGAACCCACGGTCATAGTTTTCCAACACAGCTATTTATTACAACACTGTACAGCGAATTGTGACGCCATTGATGACTGGTCACTCTGTACAAAGCTGACCCGTATGGCTGAATGGTGACATAGTATCGCCGAGTATCTACCACTAGACTAGGAGGCGGTTGTTATTGCATGACCTAGGTACTGTGTAACTGTGTGCCACAGAGTCCGGTGTTTCACACACTAGTAGGTATGTCTTTATCTCCACTTCAACTTCAGACCTTCGTTTCTATACTCCTCGCTTACCTTACTTCCTCAATATGATAGGATGTAAGTGTAACACCATATATACCATGATATAAAGTGCATCACGTCGTGGTATATGTAATTTGGGCAAACTGCCGGCGAAGACGATGCATCTGCATGGCTCGGTGCAGAATGAGCCGGTGACGAGGTGTGATACAGACTACAGTTACTGGCGTAGTGGTGGGTTCATGGTTAGTTTAGGACATATACGTGAAGAGCGGATGTTGTTTGTGGTCACTGGATGGGCGAGTGAGTATGGCGGGGGACACCAGAAATGGGCTTCACCAATTGGATCCACCTTAGGGATCCACATTGGGAATCGAACCCGAGCCTTCGGCGTGACGAGCGAACGCTTTACCCATTGGGCCACCATCGCCCCTGATGATACTGACGTATCATATGAAGAGGGGTTGATGTAACGAATGGCATAAAGTCAAGCGACTATCGGGTTTTCCATGAAAAGTAATGGGATGTGAAAACAGGAATTGAACAGTTACACACTTACTGAAGTAGTCTTCAAGTGGACCTTCGATAATTGCAATGCATGCGTTGGTTTGTTCTGATACTAATGTTTTATCTGTTTGTCAATTACATTCTGCCGGAAACAAAATACGTATGTCTTTTCTTAGAAATGTACCTTACACTAGAAATTATTGAAAAATGTATCTGTGGGAAGAATAGTTTTCTTAACGGTTTTCATTATAATGAGGTATGGATTTCGATGCAACATGTTTTATTTTCCCGAGACTTAATATTTTTTTTGGTCTCACAACAGTAACGAACATGAGTGTTTTGTTCTTACTGATTGTTGGGGCACAAAAATCAACTTTGTCACCTCTTTGTTTTTAGGAACTGGACAGCATGCTGCGCAAAGAGCTACTGTGCATCAACTGTGCAACATAATGGAAAACATTCAAAAGGTAGAACATGGCAGAGCTTTGATTGACTAGACCCTTATGGATACCATTGACAGTAAGTGCAGTGTCAATGTCCGCACGACTCGGGGGCACATAAGCTCACCCAGGTTTATCCAGGAAACAGGTAGACTTTCACAATGCTATAAACCATAAACGATAATTCCCTGAATAGTGCTGAGAGCATCACACCAGGCGACATAGAGCGCCGGGAGCTGCTAAGTGAGATGCAGACTATGAGACATGATCAGGAGTAGTTTAGGGAGGAACTCAACCTGTACCTCGTCAAGGTGAAGGTAGCCAAGATGAGGATGTTCACGGTGGAGCTGATCAAGGTGAATGTGGCCAAGAAGTGACTGGCCTGCAGGACTCTTCAACGCTGACTAGACTTTCAACTATCATACTGTAGCACACTACACGCTCAATATCTGACCAACTACATGCGAAATCAACATATGACAATCCAATAGCATTAACCGATAGCACTGATCGAGGTCCTTCGTTCTGATAGCGTAACAAGAATGTAAGCTCACAAGGCGATAACATGTACATTATTTTTAATATAAGTATCAAGAATAACGTGTTTGGAAACGACTGGTAAAGTGATTGTCTTGATCAAAATGCCACTGGATAATGTTTTGGTAATGAGAATACTTGTTCTGTCACTGCCAATTGCAAACTGCTATACATGCACACATTTTGGGGTTCAACAACTTATACAGGCTCATCCATCACCGGCCCACCAACCAATGGCCCACCACGGGCCACTGTTGTGTTCTATTGAGTGTATCAAGGGGTGATCTTAATGTCGCTCATTTGCTGTAGAACTGGTGGCGGTATGTCAGATGCGCTCGGAAGTCTCACATATCTAACTATTTCTACCCTTCTACCCACATATTCGCTACTTTATAAACTGGGATACGTGGATAGTGACTTGTGATGTTATTGCTCAAATAAGACCGCCTCCGTGGTAGAGCGTCCGCCCGGAGAGCGGAAGGTCCGGGGTTCGATCCCCGGCCGCGTCATAACAAACGACTTTTTAAAATGGTACTTGTTGTTACCCTGTCTGGCGCTCGGCATTAAGGGGCCAAAACAAGGACTGGTCGGCTCGGAGTCAGTATACTGTGTCTGAGTGGGGTATTCGTGTTAAACTGCGATAGGGTATCACAGTGGGCTAGCACTATAAATCGGCATCAGTCCAGACAAGCAGACCTCACCTCACCCTTTTCCTTTTCCATTCATGTAGTTTGCATCACTATTTTCCTTTTTACGCCCATCGGTTTCAGCAGATATTCTTGACTCATTATTTTCTGGCGTTACGGTTTTGAAATTGTGACAAAGACTCCTAAAAAAACTCCCTATTTAAATAAGATAAAACAAGGTATCTATGTTCGACCTTTATGTTCAGTACACATATACTGTATTCGACAGCAATAAGACAGTCGATCATCATCAACTAAAATGTATAAATACAGTAAACTACGTTTATAACGAACACGCTTATAACGAACTGTCGCATATATGGAACTGTTTCTTGGTGCCGTCCATTTTCTGTATAGATGTAGTACATATGCTTAGAACGAACTACAGTTATAACGAATTAAAATTAGTGGTCCCTTTGAGCTCGTTATAACCGTAGTTTACTGTATAAAGATTAGTTAACACATTTATGGAAAGTTATAGTGCCTAATGCTTAACGTTTTAATCATGATGATATATAAATTCAAACTCGACAATGAAATATTATCTATCATACATGTATGCATTACACGCATTTACAGAATGAATGAAATGGAAACCAAGGTTTATTTCTGTAGGCAATACAATTGATATAAGTAATTAAAAATAACCGAAGCAATCAATTTATGACTATATAAGATTTTACTAGAAAATAACTAAATTTAGAACATCAAATTTGCACCAAAACTATTGTTTTGAGAAATGATCCCGCGAAAGACACTTCTGACCCTGAATGACATGGCCTTCCATCCGCTTATAGCAAGCACTATTATAATAAACAAGCAATTCTCTACTGAAAATATGTTGATCCTGAGGCAAATTCGATTCATTAGTTATATATATTTTTAAAAAGAAAGAATGCTTTCTTTTTTTTACCTCGTAAATTTACGTCAGTGTTGAAAATATCAGAACTCTGCCTCCAAAAGCAAAAAATCATAAAAATAAGAACGTGTTTTCCCAAATATAACAGTTGTTACATTAAAATTTTATTTAAAAAACACAACTATGCTTCCTTTTTCACCTTTACGGCAGTGTTGTAGACATGTTAATGTCAGAACTTTGTCTCCAGGCTTTCAGAGCTAGCTTCCTCGAAAGGAGCCAGCTATTACGACTGCGCATGTGCAATCAAGGAATCTCCTTGCTATAAATAACGCAAAAGAGACATTGGCTGTGACGTAAAACGCGTCATTATCGCTGCTCATTTGCATATTTCATGCATGGACAAAAATGCGTAGTGGTATCACACACAGGTAGTTGTATAATATATATATGTATATACTAGTTTCACTCAGTTCTGTCTCTGATGCTTCTCCCTAACCTTACTTGATGAACATTCAAATGTCAATATCTACTCATACGACCTCATTTCAGTACAACCCGCGTGAACTCTCCTATGTATCACGTTGCGGTAAATGGCGACCACTGGCCCACAATGGCGGTAAATACATGCAACCGCATACCTCGGCACGCAGTTAACTGGTGACTAGGTGTGATACAGATTGCTGTTGCCGATGTTTGGGATACATAGGTGTGTTTAGGATATACACGTTGGGTTGCTATCACTGATCGTATCATATGTAGAACGCTTGATGTGACGCGTGCCATATAGAGACCGGTGACTTCCGGGTTTGTTGTTTGCTATCTCCCCCGCAAGGTGGCTGGATAATGTCAACTGAAGAAAACGGGGATATTTGCACACCCTGGCACAACGTTTAGAGTGAGTGAGTGAGTATGGTTTTACGCCGCTTTTAGCAATATTCCAGCAATATCACGGCTTCAAACATTGTAGTCATGTCGGGATTCGAACCCTTGTTCTCGGCGTGACGAGCGGTTATACCACTAGGCTACCCGACCGCCCCCACCACGTCTAGAACTCAGACAATAGTCTGTACGTTTATCGTTGTTAATAAGTGTTTGGTAGAAACAATTGTGCTGATAAATATAACTACACACAAAGCCATGAGACACATATGATGTTTTTTGGAGAATGAAGCCAAAAGAAATAAACCAATAACATAGCAATCAGGTAGCACAGGCCTGTTGTGTAGAGAAACTCAGCCACTCTCAGCTAAAATGTTTCATTGTTCTCTGGTTTTCATTTCTAGTGCCTGGACATGGATCAGCAGGACCCTCCAATTCCTGGTATGTTGACTGGGCTTTCATGGTTCACAGCACAATCTCAGTATCTTGCAAACTACATGTCATTTTAACCATAGACAATGTAGATTAAGATGTCACAATATCAATATCAATACCGGACAATTTAGGCCAACACTTGTTATAGAAACATGAGAGATGCTTAATGGAGACACTTCATATAAGAGTATACGAACTCACATAGCAAAATGTAATGTACTTCTGTTTCATGTACACTTTGTCCTACGTGTTTGGGACATAAGTTTCCCACTCTTGCTATTTCATTGTACTCACCTGAACTTCTTCTGTGCAGATGTTATTAAAAACAGTACGAGAGAAGAAAACACATTACTCTTTTTCACATTTATTAAAGGATGAAGTCTGTCCTTAGACGGGAAAGTGTTTCTGAGGCATCCATTTCCCATCCAACTATATAGTTCAAACTTAAGAAAAATATATGGGAGAATGATTTACACATAGTTCTTTTTACTGTGTTCTTTTTTGCATATGAAGAATGGTTCCGAGCAATGGCTCATGACCAACAACAACGGATCGTGACTGACAAGTTCATTGGGAGGATTGCAAAACATATCGGGGCAGATTGGGAACTGATAGCAGCAGAAATGGACATCTCTAGGCCCAAGCGAGAAGCTATTGTAGCCAAACACCCAAGATCCATCCAGCTACAAGTTGCTGGAGCATTCACCACATGGAAACAGAAGAACTCACGTCAAGCTACAATTGCAACATTAATTCAAATCTTGTGGCAGTGCAATGAGCGGTGCACCATCGACTGGGACGATATCGAGGAGGTGGTGATGGGGGATTGGTGATGGTGATTGGTGATGGGGGATTGATGACTGTCTCTATGACAATGAAGACTGTAAGGACATAAAACATTTTATGGATAACAAGTTAAGGATACCACAGGGCTACTTCTTGTCTCTTTACATTCAACTGATGTAGGTGCAAAATATAGTCGTTATGAAGAAGTTGTCATAAATGTTATAAAGAGGTTGTCGTAAAAGTGTTTTCTTACTTCTTCTTGTAACCAACCAAAAGACTATGAAGCCAATGTTTAATAATAATTTGTGCACTATATGTGCAATTGATCTGTAAATGACGAGCGTATATATCGAGCTATCCGTTGTTGGGGTATGAATGGTACCTTCATATTAAACAATTTTATATCTGTGTTTAGGATTTCTTTTCTTGCATTTGTCTACTTTTGCTCACCAATATTACATATTCCGACGGCAATGGTTTTCTATCTATGTCGTGTTAATTGTTGTCAGTAATAGTTTGTCTACTGATAATTTGAAGCAAGTGTCAATCTGTGTAGAACTTAAACATCCTATTCTCGAATACTGAACTGGAAGCTATCACAGTTTGTGATTTTGATGTACTCACAAGACCAGCCATGTATATATGTACACGACATGTCAGTTTAATGTGTGATTAAACTATAACACAACTGGAGAAGTCTAATGGGAAAACTAAACATTTGGTTCTGGTTAACGGGCAAGACAAACGAGACGAACACTTTTGTAGGGTTGTCTCCCTTTAGTTGTCACGGCGCATGACACTCTGCTTGATCGCCGTGTAGCAGGGCATGTATTACTGCCACCCTCTCTCTAACCCTATTATTATCATATCGCTGTGTGTCGCTGCACACGCACTGAACGGGAACCCTCGTTTCATGACACGTGACTGCCGTGTTATGATTCAGGGAATAATTCAGGCGGAGTTACTACACGAGCTCTTAACTAGGGCGGACCAAGCTCCAGCATTAATCTGACACTCGTATAAACTTATATGCTGTTCAAAGCCACGTTAAATCTAACACGCTCTCTCACTCAGCCTATGAAAGGTATGGGGTAATTTCTTTGCGAATATGTGATTACGGGGGTATATATACACTTTGGTAGACTCATACTGGCACACACGTGTGCGCGCTGGAATGCACGCACTCACATACACAGATACACACGTGGGCACGCGTACTGCCCTTTCTCTATTCTGTCTGCTTGTCACCGAGTTATTTCGTCAGTTGCGTTGATCGATGCACATGATATCAACCACTGGATTGTTCGGTCCAGACACGATTATTTACAGACCGCCGTCATATAGCTGGAATATTGCTGATTGTGGCGTTAAATAACAAACATTACAATGGTATCAGACACATTTAATCATTAAGGAAGCAGGAGCATTGATCATGTGACGTTTGCAACGTGCTGAACGTTTACGTGTCATAGGCATGGTACAGTTGGACACACGTCAGACGTTTGTTGCCGGAATGTTGCAATTTTTCAATCTGTCGTCAGCAGATTGTGGACCCAAAACCAACAAACACATAACGTCGATGATCGACGCCGCTTTGGACGCCTAAGGGCAACCACTACAGCTAAGGCCAGATTGGTCTGAACAAGGACATTAAGAAACCGTTTGCAAACTGTCACCCAGTACAGGAACCGGCTGCAACCGGCAACTGGTGTAAAAGTTCATGCCCAGACTGTGAGAAATCCCACAACTTAGTGCACGTCGGTTGAATCTGATGCGTCATTGGTTTAGGGAACGTCAGCACTGGGATAATCTACGTCGGGCTAATGTGATGTTTTCTGACGAATCGAGGTTCACTCGGGTTGCTCAAGTAGGTTAAACTGAACTTCAGTACTAACATGCAATACTATTGCATGATATACAAATATGTCCCTTTCAGGAAAGTGATATCGAAAATCACCGAGAATCCTACTACTAAAATACGGAATTTGCCCATTCTTCTTATTGAGTAATAGTTATTTAAATGGAAGCCCTGGGCTTAAACGTAAAACATGCAAGGATCTAAAAAATACACATGGCACCGAATTTGACATCAACAGTTTAATACAGCAGCCGGAAAAAAACGCTACACAGCTAGATCTGTTGGATGGGAATGACCTACCATGCCGTTATTATTCACATTCTTTACACAGTGTCTCTAGTCTTAAATTACCACACCGCGTTTTCTTTGCATACCCGAGTGTGGCTTGTAAATTTGAAAGCCTTCAACAACACTCATTGCGAGTTTGTGGCTGGTTAGATGAGCCACGCATTTGTATGGTTTTACAAGGTTTCATGCATACACTGTATCTGTCGTGTTTTTTGAGCATTTTAAGCCCATAATACAAAGCATCGAAGGCTTAAATGAATGATTTCACGTAATGGGATTTAACAAGTTGTTAACACTAACTGGGTCTGAAGTCGCTTTCCAGGGTTAAGATCTAGAGAAGTGTGCTGATATCAAGTCACATATAGGAACTGGCAGGGGCAAATCAAGATCGGGATCATAGGATCTTTTCACAATTTGGGGACAAGTAACTTAATTATCAGAAGTAATGAAGAAGCAAGGTGTATAGTCATAAGAGATAAACAAGCTGCAAACATGTAAACGTTTAATTTAAGCAAATTGACAACTCCCGACTTATATCTACAGCAAGTACAAAACAGATGCATGTAAACGTTACATATCGAGGATCTACTGTAACACAATAATTCAATCAAATACAAACAGGACACTCTAAAGACATTTATTTTATTTGGAATGAATTGTCAATAACACTTTGATGTAACTTCCGCTTTGTACAAGGCAAGTAGTTGATAATATAAATGTTATAACTAAATACATTAGTTAAGATACACGCAAATGTTCTGACAGACATAATGACGCTTGTGTTGGTCAGTTTTAACTTTAAGATCTCTTCATGATTCATAACAATCTCATTCATTGCACACTCTCAGTTACACACATGAGCGCCCGGCACATGTGACACTTGCGCAGTGCAGATGCGCAGCCTATGCACGAGACAAGATGGGCACAGGGTAGAAATAGAACACATCACAAGACTTACATTACATGAAGCTAAAAAGCAACTCGTGATTGTTGTTGAGGGTATGTTTTGAATTTAATTACTTCATAAATTTGTTGTAAAGTCAAACTACACTTAAGTACTTTGGACTGTATTTTCAATTGTATTTATTGCTGATATACGACTCTTGGTGCCAAATATGTGAATATTGATAAACACTTATGTATGACCTCTATGTGTTGCAAGCTTTTGTTATGAGAAAGGTATCATGGATATGACTCAAAATAAATAATCAATATTCACCAGGGCTCGATTTAGCAACATAAAACATACACCAGTGGGACCTATCATTGAAAAGTGCAAACTAATATTTATTTCTACAAGGACTAAATGCTTGTAAGAAATAATATGTGTGTCTTGACTAGCCTTTCATTGTCCACACAACATCGACCTTTGAACAAACTTATTACATCTCAGCTTGATTTACCATACTACATCACTAACCCCTATGTTATGTGTAATTTGTCATCACTCTTGGGATTGATGTCATCACACTGTGGGTATCTCAAGATTAAATAAACTGTACTGTTACTTCATCTGTCACTGAAATGACCTCGGTATCACGTTATGATATTTAGGTTATCCAACTAATGATAATCATTATGCATTATATGGTTGACATTGATGACATTGCCACATAAGTATTGTAACAGTAAGTAATAACTGTAATAAAGATCAATGGCACAGTCATCAGAGGTCTGAGATTGTATTAATTTAGATATATTTAAGTGAGTGAGTGAGTATGGTTTCACGCCGCTTTTAGCAATATTCCGTACACAGTAAAATGGGCTTCAAACATTGTACCCATGTGGGGAATCGAACCCACGTTTTCGGCTTTACGATCTAACGCTTTAACGACTAGGATATCCTATCGCCCAGATATATTTAAGGGAACAGGATGCAACCTGGTTTTGTCTGGGGCATCCCGAAAAGGTGCATCTTCTAAAATAAGTAATGCTGTTTTATAATAAATATGATCTGTTATCTCTGTCATTCGATAAACAATCAATTCGTTTTGACCTAAAAGGAATGTATGTGTATAAAACTCTAATCCTGACCATCAGAGTGTTGTATCAATCATTTATCATTCAATCTGCTTCTGTGATATCATAAAAAACAGTTATGAACATCAACCACGGGGCTTTGCAAGAGCACTTACTGAATACTGCTTGTTCTGACATGGTGACCTTCCGTCCACTGATCGTGAGACTCTCAACACACTTGCCACTAGCAGACTGTGAATGAATATTACACCAAGTACTATCGCGTCTATATTCACTGTTTCATCAAGGTATTTAATTAGAGATAGTTGTAATGAATATTTTCTTTAAGCTTTGAAGAGCTATGAATTTAATAAGAGTTATAAAATAAACGTAACAATTTTGGACTATCTTGGAAGATAGAAGCTCGGAAAATTGTCAAAGAGATCACCAAAGTTAAGTCATTAAAGCGTCAACAATGTTTTTTTCTGGTTTTCTCTCTTACGAAAAGGCTCCGAGATCTTTTATGACAAAATAAGCAAGAGTGACATACGTATTAAAGTATTAGAACACTTGAATGTTATATTTTATCCTCCTATCCATTGGAAAGATGTTTCATACTAGAGAAAATGGACCAAGGACTGTAAGCTGTTAGATTTTCAATATAGATTCATTTTCAGAGCAATCTAAAGAAAGAATCACATATGGTGAACTCAGTTGATGATATTTCTACATTCTGTAAATGTTACATCGAAAAGTTATCACATATATATTGTTAATGTGAACACGTCAAGGAGTTTTGGTCACAGGTTGAAAAAATGATCACTAGTAATCTAAATATCGAACTAGAATTCACAAAATACATTGTCATTTTTTGGACTTTGTACATACAACCATTTGTCAAATACATGCAAACAACAACATAATCCATTGTTATCGCAAGAAATTGAAGCAACTGACTACAACCCTCTGTTCATAATCATGATAATATCATCGTTTAAGTCTAATTCCTTTCTGCTTCACACGTTGTATACACACGCCTTACGCGTTAAGTCTAATCATGTCTTCTACCTTGGATGTAAATGTAATTATATGAAAGGCAATACAATGTATTCCTCCAAAATAGAATATGTCCAACAGTTTTTTGTTTGCCTACCGAATCGAGATTAATCAACATTTCGTATTCCCTACGGGGAAATCAGTTAGCTGGTACATGAAGCTGTTAGCTTGTATTTAATGCATATCATCGAACCGTTAATAACAAAAAGGTATCGTCCAGATACCCCTAACACCATTACATTGTGAATAATAATATGAGTACCAAGATAATATTTACCTCTTACATATTCGACTCTTTTTGTTATCTTTGATAGATACACACACACACACACACACACACACACACACACACACACACACACACACACACACACACACACACACACACACACACACACACACACACACACACACACACACACACACACACACACACACACACACACACACACACACACACAATGGACTTGGACTGTCCACAATATAATGATAATCGCAATTCAATTTGTTCTTCTAATACATGACAAAAGATCAATTTCTATAACTAATGATCAGAAAACAATATTTATGCTTGCTACATTTGTGTTTAGTACGCTCAACATCCAGGGAAATATAATACAATAAGTTATTACAAGCGCATATATTGTCATTGTAATTGTCCTTGATGTACCTATATTGATATTCATAAATAAGTGGGATTTTGTAATATGTCCAAACCAATATTTAAATATTTCACAGTGACTTGTTAGGAAGCAAATGTGAAACTGCTTTTGTAAAATGTTCAGATGGAGTCATCAATAGTCCATGGTACTGTTATTGTGATACAATTTCTACAATTTATTAATGACAATACCTTTTCTCACATTGTTTAACAATTCCACCTCTTCGGAAAACAATCTTTTTAGTTTTCGATAGTTTGACATTTAACATCCATGATGAACAATAATCATCTGGAATATTCAGGTACTCTTGTAGCACTCTTATTACATAAAGAATAACTTCATCAGCAAATATTTTAAAAAATCATATAAATCAGGGAATAACTGTACTCCTCTCCGACGTGTATCAAACATTTGAGCAGCCAACTCAGATTTGATGAGAGACATTCAATGGAATATGCTACATATGACACGTCAATTTTGTCAACACAATGCTCGATGCAAAAGCATGTTATGACCATTAAACGTAATTTTCACCCCCCCCTCACTCACCTGCATTCTTTTAAAATGAAAATTGTGTCAGTGGTTTGTTGTACCAGTAGTGCAGGATATGCTTACCCTTTTCGCGAACACCTTGTGTCAACCAACTATTTTGCCTTTTATGCCCTACGAAATCTGTTTCGCCAGATATTCGAAACTGGGTATAATCTGGCATTGACGTTTTGAAATAGTAATGACTCTAAAATAAATCCTTTATCTATCCAATCTTAAATAAGACAAGGTGCTAAATGTTCAGTATATATATATATCCTGTACATTGAGTCCACTAAATGCTAGTGATGGTTTCTCACGACTGCTAAGCCAACCGTCCATCAACATCTGAAAATTCTAGTATATAATAATGAAGACTTGCTGACACTTTTGTGAAATGGTTTAGTGCGTTATGGTTGATAATGATGTTTTAATCATGCAAAATACAAATTAAAAATCAATAATGAAATTCCATCGCACATACATGTATGATTTAAACACATTCTACAGAAGGCTCTACATGGAATGGAAAAATAATGTTTTATTTTTGTAGGTTTTGCATTGAGTATTAGGAATTAAAATTTTACTGAAATATATGTATCAATAACGCAAACAATCAATATCAATATCAAATGCTTTGGCTTGATCCGAAATACATGCAGAGAATTACTTGCCGTCACTTTTTAAAAAAAAATGTATCTGAAAAAATAACTATTACCAAACACAGAACAATTTTGCGCCGAAAGTATTTTTTGAGAGATGTTCCATCAAAAGACCCTTTTAACACTTAAAACATTGTAAGCCCCACTATAGATAACACGCAATTCTCGATTAAAAAAAGTTGATCCTGAGGCAAATTCAATGTATTAATTTCATATTTGTTAAACATATGTTTTCATGTTTCACCTTGAAAATCCACAGCAGTGAATAAATCCAAACAAAAGGAACCCTCTCGAAACTGTCTGTGACGTAAAACGCGTCATAATCGCTGCTCATTTGCATAATACATGCTGTGCAAAGGGTGAAAAGAAAGTTGTTGGTTGTACCTCACACAGGTAAGCATATATATTAATAAACTAGTTTCAAGCAAACTTCACAACTCCCATGCTTCTCTCTAACCATACTTTATCAACTTTCGAATATTTACACACACGACATCGTTTCTGTATAATCCACGTGAACTCTCAAGTGTACCACCAAGCGGTGAATGGCAACCACTGGCCCACAATGGTGGCAAATACGGTGCAACCACATCGGATGGGAGAGAGGTAACTGGTGACGAGGTGTGATACAGATTGTTGTTGCTGGTGTTGGGGATACATGAGTGTGTTTAGGACAAACACGTTGGGTTATTATCACTGAGGTATCACATGTAGGACGTCTTATGTTATGGTAGCCATATCTAAGTAGATCACTTCCGGGTTCGTTTGACGCCCATCTTCACGGAGAGCTGGACAATGTCGACCACAATGAGCGGGGATATATATACAACATGAAATCACGCGCTAAACACTTTCAGCATTCTTTTATGGTTACGTTTATCCTTGTTATCTAGTGTTTGATAATGAATAAAGCTTGTGTGTAAATACAACCAGACACATAATCACGAGATATATTTATGGTTGATGAAACCATAAGAAATAAAACTTTCTGAAACTCGAATGTACCCCATATCTACGTTGTTTTATGTTTCACTGCTACATCTGATTATCATTTCAGGTTTCATTCAAGCAAGCATTTGTGGTAAACATGTCAGTAAGTTATACCACCATATATTTCTAGAACCTAAAAGTGGATCTTCTTTAAAGCTGTCATTGAAATATCCTGAAAAGGGTAATAGTTATGCCTTTTTTCCCGAATAAATTATTATCAGAATTCATGAACGTGAGAAATAGGATATTTTAAGTATTCCTTAAGTTTCAATTTGTTTTGTCTCACTAAACGAACGTGGAGTCATTATTGTTGAGAGTATTAGATTGATTGAATAATGGATACACTCTGTTGCCAGGGACCAGAGAACATATCGGACGTAGAGCTCCTGTGGTACAAGGGGTTTAGGATTCTAAACAAGGCAGTGGCCCTTGAACTACGTCAGCTGTTTCAGCGCCTGTGGAACCAGAAGCATCCAACCAACCCATGGCAGGATGACCAGACCTCAGGGGAAATTTTTTATAATGATTACAAACCCAAAAGAGATATCAGACGATATGAGGATATTATAAAAAATGGTAAGTTAGGTGGATGGGACATGACAGTTCTGTGCCGAGCATTTATTGACTACTCCCTTATGGATACCATTGACAGTAAGTACAGTACCAATGTCCACATCTTGAGAGACTTGCGGAACACATATGCTCATAGCCCAAATTCATCCAGACAACAAGGAGACTATCAGAAAGATATAGCTCAAATTAGGAAGGTTTTCACGGAACTTGGTCTGAGCGAAGAAACCTTGAATGAAGCAGAGAGCATCACCCCAGACGATATAGAGCGTCGAGAGCTGCTGAGTGTAATAGAGACCCTGATACAGGAACAGGCAGAGTTTAGGGAGGAAGTCCGGAAAAGACTTCCCGAACATGGTGAAGACCAACCAGATCAACAGGACCCTTCAATTCCTGGTATGTTGACTGGGCTTTCAATGTCCACAGACTATTACAATCATTGATAAACAAGATCAGTATATGGCAAACTACGTATATTCCAACCATGGGCAATGTAGATCAACATCTGTCAATACCTGCCAATTGCAATATCTGACAGTCTACTCCAATACTGGTGAAACTACTACAATATATCGGTCCATTTTCACAGGTGCTAAATCAAAACGCTTGATTTAGAAGCAAATTAACCCACACATCAAAATGTAATGTTCTTTTGTTTCACATTAACTTTGTCCTACGAGTCGGATATATCAGTTACCTCATGTTATTCACATTATAATACATATTATTTTGTTATTGAGAAACAGTATTAGAGAAGTAAGCCTACAACTAGTTTTCACATTTAAAAAGAAAAAGCTGAAGTCGTTTGATAGACCATGACGTTTTATCATTAAACAAATTTATTTTGCATTTGAAGAACGGTTCCCGATGGGGCTATTTAATTGTACTGAATTCTTCTGTACATATGTTATAAAAATAGTATAAGAGGATATCAAAAATGGTATAAGAGAAGAATACTTGTTTTCACTTTTATAGAAGGCTGAAGTCAGTCGATAGGCGGGAATGTGTTTCTGTGGGAAAGCCATCTACTTCACGTCCAATTATAGTTCAAGAAGAAATGTAGGGGAGAATGGTTTACACATTTTACTGTTGTTTTCTCTTTTGCATATGAAGAATGGTTCCGTGCAATGCCTCGTGACCAACAACAACGGGCCGTACCTGACGTGATCATTGGGAGGATTGCAGAACACATCGGGGATGAGTGGGAGCTGATAGCAGTAGAAATGGACATCTCTAGACCCAAGCGACAAGCTATTGTAGCCAAATACCCAAGATCCATCCAGCTACAGATTATAGAAGCATTCAACAAATGGAAACAGAAGCTACCCTCAAGTCAAACTACAATTGCATCATTGATTAAAATCTTGTGGCAGTGCAATGGGCGGTGCGACATCGACTGGAAATGTGTCGAGAAGGTGGTGATGGGGAATTGGTCTCTTGAACAGTGAAGCCTGTGAGGACACACTACTGTTATGAATAACTATCTTCTTTCCATTGATGTTACTGGAATACTTTTTGCCCCTTCACCATTCAACTGATAGTGCAAACTGTAGAGCAGTATGAATGCTGCCTTCATCTCACACAATTCTATTTCTGCGTGTGACCTATTTTTTAGCATTTGTTCCTTTCCTTTTAACAACATTACTACTACGACGGAACATGTGAAGACCCTGAGTAGAATAGGTATTCGGCAACCAATGCTTGCCGTAAAAGGCGGCTATGCTTGTCGTAAGAGGCGACTAACGGGATCGGGTGGTCAGGCCCGCTGACTTGGTTGATGCATGTCATCGTATCCCAATTGCGTGCATGGATGCTCATGATGTCAATCAATGGATTGTCTGGTCCAGACTCCATTATTTACAGACCGCCGTCATATAGCTGGAATATTGCAGAGTGCGGCGTTAAACAACAAACAAACAAACTACAACGACCGTTATTTTTTCAAAAATCTGTTTCGTACTTATTGTCACCAGTAATACTGAGTTTGTTTATAATTCCAAACAAGTCTCAATATTTATATAACTGTGGTTAAATATCTTATACTGGGATACTGAATTTTCAAGCTAGTCTTATTTTTATGATTTTAATGAAGTCACAAATTAAAAAAAATAACACACCTCAAGAAATCAATGGGAAAATATACATTTGGTTGTGTTTAACCAGCAAGCAAGATTAGCGAGACGAACAATATGTAGGGTTATCTCCCTTTAGTTGTTGTGTTGGCCCTGTGCTTGATCGCGTTCAGCATGAACACATTTGCCGTCCTCTCTCTCTCTTTCTCTCTCTCATGTCACGTGAACGCCGTGTTGTTATTATTCAGAGGACAATCTGCAAGCGGAGCCACTTACACGAGCCCTCACTTTACTAGGGCAGAGGGATAGTCTAGTGGTTAATGGGTTTGATTCCTCACATAGGTACAACGTGTGAAGCCTTTTTATGGGGACCCGTGCCGTGATATTGCTAAAAGCAGTGTAAAACCCACACACTCACTTACCTCGCTAACATGGGAGGCACAAATGGTTCAGTGGTGTAAAGCGTCGATATACGCTGTTCGTCTCTGTCGTGGGTTTGAATCCAGGATTCGTGACTATTATGACCCTTGGTCCGTCAGCACCATATCCATAAGGAACAATTCTTAATAATTTTATCACCAGTTATCCAGAAACAATTGCCAATATCTGTTATAATATATACAATTGAAATATATTCCTTGTATGTACAACATAACCATTGTTTGCTCAATTCCCATATTATTTCCATATCATTATATTACATTTGTTTAAAATGAAATTGTTAAAATGTACCTTTGTATATGTACCTGTGTGTTTTGTACTTACCGTGCGTAAATTTGTAGTTTGTAGAACATTGCAACTGTTTCCTGATGGAATGATGCTCAATAAATATCTTATCTTTTCTTATACCTGTTCGTTGTCTTCACCAAAGGGGTTAACGTATATGGCGTGTGTCGATTGTGTCTCAGCTCTTGCATTAACGTGACCCAAGGTGATACAGCCTCATACTGTTCAAAACGCACTCACTCACTCAACTTGTGAAAGGTATGGAGCAATGTCTTTACAGGTACAAGGGGTGTTCATTAAAGATTTCCCCGACCCACCTCCTATGGACCTAGTCGAATGAAACTTGGCATAGGTATTAGTCTTTCTCCACATAGGAACCACCAAGAGTTACACACTTCTCCCATCTTTTTATGCAACTATGGAGACCTCGCTTGTAAAAGCCCTCATTTTGCGTCTCAAACCAGGAAGTTACTGCAGAAATCAGTGTTTCATCATCTGTGAAACGTTTTCCCTTCAAAAATGACTTCATGGTTGGAAAGAGGTGGAAGTCAGATGGCGCAAGGTCAGGAGAGTAAGGAGGATGTGGAAGGATTTCATAGCCACAGGACCGCGCTTCTGTCTGGGCAACATGAGAGTTGTGTACTGGAGCATTGTCTTGCAGGAGACGGACACCCTTGGTCAGCATGCCTCGCCTCTTAAGATTGATAGCGTCCCGCAATTTCCGCAGCAGTGAAGCATAATAAGCTCCTGTAATTGTGGTACCCTTTGCCAAGAAATCCATCATCACTACTCCGTGCTGGTCCCAAAACACCGCGAGCATGACCTTGCCTGAAACGTGCCTTCTTTTGGAGTGGTGACTCCACATGCTTCCATTGCATCGACTGAACTATAGTCTCAGGATCATAGTGATGGGCCCATGTTCCCCGTCCCCCCCCTTACTCACTTGCATTTAAAAAAAATGAAACTTGTGTCAGTGGTTTGTTGTACCAGTAGTGCAGGACATATCGTGTCATTACTGATTTTCAGTTATACGTGCATAACTATTTTGCCTTTTATGTCCAATGGAATCTGTTTCGGCAGATATTCGAGACTGAATATAATCTGGCATTGACGTTTTGAAATAGTAATGACTCTAAAATAAATCCTTTATCTATCCAATCTAAAATAAGAAAAGGTGCTCAATGTTCAGTATATATATATCCTGTACATGGAGTTCAATAAATGCTAGTGATGGTTTCTCACGACTGCTAAGCCAACCGTCCATCAACATCTGAAAATACTAGTACATGTATATAATAATGAAGACTTGCTGACACTTTTGTGAAATGGTTTAGTGCGTTATGATTAATAATGATGTTTTAATCATGTAAAATATAAATTCAAAATCAATAATAAAATTCCATCGCACATACATGTATGATTTAAACACATTCTACAGAAGGCTCTACATGGAATGGAAAATAATGTTTTATTTTTGTAGGTTTTGCATTGAGTATTAGGAATTAAAATTTAACTGAAATATATGTATCAAATACGCAAACAATCAATATCATCATATCAAATACATTGGCTTGATCTGAAATACATGTAGAGAATTACTTGCCGTCACTTTTTTTTACAAAATGTATCTCAAAACAAACTATTACCAAACACAGAACAATTTTGCGCCGAAAGTATTTTTCGAGAGATGTTTCATTAAAAGACCCTTTTAACACTGAAAAACATTGTAAGCCCCACTATAGATAACACGCAATTCTCGATTAAAAAAAGTTGATCCTGAGGCAAGTTCAATGTATTTATTCATATTTTTAAAACATATGTTTTCATTTTTCACCTTGAAAATCCACAGCAGTGAATAAATCCAAGCGACAGGAACCCCCTCGAAACTGTCTGTGACGTAAAACGCGTCATAATCGCTGCTCATTTGCATAATACATGCTGTGCAAAGGGTGAAAAGAAAGTTGTTGGTAATACCTCACACAGGTAAGCATATATATTAATAAACTAGTTTCAAGCAAACTTCACAACTCCCATGCTTCTCTCTAACCATACTTTATCAACTTTCGAATATTTACACACACGACATCGTTTCTGTATAATCCACGTGAACTCTCAAGTGTACCACCAAGCGGTGAATGGCAACCACTGGCCCACAATGGTGGCAAATACGGTGCAACCACATCGGATGGGAGAGAGGTAACTGGTGACGAGGTGTGATACAGATTGTTGTTGCTGGTGTTGGGGATACATGAGTGTGTTTAGGACAAACACGTTGGGTTATTATCACTGAGGTATCACATGTAGGACGTCTTATGTTATGGAAGCCATATCTAAGTAGATCACTTCCGGGTTCGTTTGACGCCCATCTTCACGGAGAGCTGGACAATGTCGACTACAATGAGCGGGGATATATATACAACATGAAATCACGCGCTAAACACTTTCAGCATTCTTTTATGGTTACGTTTATCCTTGTTATCTAGTGTTTGATAATGAATAAAGCTTGTGTGTAAATACAACCAGACACATAATCACGAGATATATTTATGGTTGATGAAACCATAAGAAATAAAACTCTCTGAAACTCGAATGTACCCCATATCTACGTTGTTTTATGTTTCACTGCTACATCTGATTATCATTTCAGGTTTCATTCAAGCAAGCATTTGTGGTAAACATGTCAGTAAGTTATACCACCATATATTTCTAGAACCTAAAAGTGGATCTTCTTTAAAGCTGTCATTGAAATATCCTGAAAAGGGTAATAGTTATGCCTTTTTTCCGAATAAATTATTATCAGAATTCATGAACGTGAGAAATAGGATATTTTAAGTATTCCTTAAGTTTCAATTTGTTTTGTCTCACTAAACGAACGTGGAGTCATTATTGTTGAGAGTATTAGATTGATTGAATAATGGATACACTCTGTTGCCAGGGACCAGAGAACATATCGGACGTAGAGCTCCTGTGGTACAAGGGGTTTAGGATTCTAAACAAGGCCGTGGCCCTTGAACTACGTCAGCTGTTTCGGCGCCTGTGGAACCAGAAGCATCCAACCAACCCATGGCAGGATGACCAGACCTCAGGGGAAATCTTTTATAATGATTACAAACCCAAAAGATTAAACGGACGATATGACGATATTATAAAAAATGGTAAGTTAGGTGATTGGGACATGACAGTTCTGTGCCGAGCATTTATTGACTACTCCCTTATGAATACCATGGACAGGAAGTACAGTACCAATGTCCACATCTTGAGAGACTTGCGGAACACATATGCTCATAGCCCAAATTCATCCAGACAACAAGGAGACTATCAGAAAGATATAGCTCAAATTAGGAAGGTTTTCACGGAACTTGGTCTGAGCGAAGAAACCTTGAATGAAGCAGAGAGCATCACCCCAGACGATATAGAGCGTCGAGAGCTGCTGAGTGTAATAGAGACCCTGATACAGGAACAGGCAGAATTTAGGGAGGAAGTCCGGAAAAGACTTCCCGAACATGGTGAAGACCAACCAGATCAACAGGACCCTTCAATTCCTGGTATGTTGACTGGGCTTTCAATGTCCACAGACTATGACAATCATTGATAAACAAGATCAGTATAAGGCAAACTACGTATATTCCAACCATGGGCAATGTAGATCAACATCTGTCAATACCTACCAATTGCAATATCTGACAGTCTACTCCAATACTGGTGAAACTACTACAATATATCGGTCCATTTTCACAGGTGCTAAATGAAAACACTTGATTTAGAAGCAAATTAACCCACACATCAAAATGTAATGTTCTTTTGTTTCACATTAACTTTGTCCTACGAGTCGGATATATCAGTTACCTCATGTTATTCACATTATAATACATATTATTTTGTTATTGAGAAACAGTATTAGAGAAGTAAGCCTACAACTAGTTTTCACATTTAAAAAGAAAAAGCTGAAGTCGTTTGATAGACCATGACGTTTTATCATTAAACAAATTTATTTTGCATATGAAGAACGGTTCCCGATGGGGCTATTTAATTGTACTGAATTCTTCTGTACATATGTTATAAAAATAGTATAAGAGGATATCAAAAATGGTATAAGAGAAGAATACTTGTTTTCACTTTTATAGAAGGCTGAAGTCAGTCGATAGGCGGGAATGTGTTTCTGTGGGAAAGCCATCTACTTCACGTCCAATTATAGTTCAAGAAGAAATGTAGGGGAGAATGGTTTACACATTTTACTGTTGTTTTCTCTTTTGCATATGAAGAATGGTTCCGTGCAATGCCTCATGAGCAACAACAACGGGTCATATCTAACAAGTTCATTGGGAGGATTGCAGAACACATCGGGGCAGAGTGGCAACTGATAGCAGCAGAAATGGACATCTCTAGACCCAAGCGACAAGCTATTGTAGCCAAAACCCCAAACTCCAACGTGGAACAGGTTATGGGAGCATTCGAGATATGGAAACAGAATAACTCACATAAAGCTACAATTGCATCATTGATTCAAATCTTGTGGCAGTGCAAGGGGCGGTGCGACAACGACTGGGAAAGTGTCGAGGAGGTGGTGATGGGGGATTGGTGACTATCTCTTGAACCGTGAACCCTGTGAGGACACACTCCTGTTATGAATAACTATCTTCTTTCCACTGATGTTACTGGAATACTTTTTGCCCCCTTCACCATTCAACTGATAGTGCAAACTGTAGAGAAGTATGAATGCTGCCTTCATCTCCCACAATTCTATTTCTGTGTGTGACCTATTTTTTAGCATTTGTTCATTTCTCCTCAACAACATTTCTTCTACGACGGAACACGTGAAGATCCTGAATAGAATAGATCTTAAGCAACTCATGCTTGCCGTAAAAGGCGGCTATGCTTGTCGTAAGAGGCGACTAACGGGATCGGGTGTTGAGGCCCGCTGACTTGGTTGATGCATATCATCGTATCCCAATTGCGTGGATCGATGCTCATGATGTCAATCAATGGATTGTCTGGTCCAGACTCCATTATTTACAGACCGCCGTCATATAGCTGGAATATTGCAGAGTGCGGCGTTAAACAACAAACAAACAAACTACTACGACGATTATTTTGTTTCGTACTTATTGTCACCAGTAATACTGAGTTTGTTTATAATTCCAGGCAAGTCTCAATATGTATATAACTGTGGTTAAATATCTTATCCTGGGATACTGAATTTTCAAGCTAGTCTTATTTTTATGATTTTAATGAAGTCACAAATTAAAAAAAATAACACACCTCAAGAAATCAATGGGAAAATATACATTTGGTTGTGTTTAACCAGCAAGCAAGATTAGCGAGACGAACAATATGTAGGGTTATCTCCCTTTAGTTGTTGTGTTGGCCCTGTGCTTGATCGCGTTCAGCATGAACACATTTGCCGTCCTCTCTCTCTCTCTCGCTGTGTAGCTCAACATTGACAACACACACTGTGAGGAATCTCGCGTCTCATGTCACGTGACCGCCGTGTTATTATTCAGAGGACAATCTCCAAGCGGAGCTACTTACACGAGCCCTCACTTTACTAGGGCAGAGGGATAGCCTAGTGGTTAAAGGGTTTGATTCCTCACATAGGTACAACGTGTGAAGCCTTTTTTGGGGGACCCGTGCCGTGATATTGCTAAAAGCAGTGTAAAACCCACAAATTCACTTACCTCGCTAACATGGGAGGCACAAATGGTTCAGTGGTGTAAAGCGTCGATATACGCTGTTCGCCTCTGTCGTGGGTTTGAATCCAGGATTCGTGACTATTATGACCCTTGGTCCGTCAGCACCATATCCATAAGGAACAATTCTTAATAATTTTATCACCAGTTATCCAGAAACAATTGCCACTATCTTTTATCATATATACAATTGAAATATATTCCTTGTATGTAAAACATAACCATTGTTTTGCTCAATTACCATATTATTTCCATATCATTATATTACATTTGTTTAAAATGAAATTGTCATAATGTGCCTTTGTATATGTATCTGTGTGTTTTGTACTTACTGTGCGTATATTTGTAGTTTGTAGAATATTGCAACTGTTTCTCGATGGAATGATGCTCAATAAATACCTTATCCTTTCTTGTACCTGTTCGTTGGCTTCAATCCCAAAGGACGTGTGTCGCTTGTCTCAGCTCTTGCATTAACCTGACACAAGGTGATACAACCTTACTGTTCAAACACACACACATACACACACACACATACACACATACACACACACACACACACACACACACACACACACACACACACACACACACACACACACACACACACACACACACACACACACACACACACACACACACACACACACACACATTTTCGTTTTTGTTTTTTGACATTTTCATTTTAGTTTTTGACATTTTCGTTTCACTTTTCTGCGATACAATATCTTCTTTACACATGATTCATCACATTTTTGTAAGACAAATCGTGTTAATTTGCAAAAGGTAACGACAAAAGTAAGTGAAATATCAAAATATGGAAAAACAGACTCCATGTCCCTTATGGGCCACCGTATGCACATGATGTAGACATCCGTGTAATATACATATATATGTTTAATCTAACATAATCTAACAATCTGCATAAAAATAGATGTAATGAGAGGGTAACAGCAAATCTAATCTTATCTCAATGCTACCACCCAGAACAAATCCATGAATTATTTTGTGATAATTTTATTGCATATGAAGCTTGGTTCCGGAGGTCTATTCCGGAAAACCGACAACGACAAAAGTTGAACCAGAAGTCACTGATGAATCTCGTCCCTTTTATTGGCGGAAACTGGGAGTTTTGGCAACGGAACTCGACATAACTTCTGCCCAGATAGAGAAGTTTAAGAAGGCAAATCCGGGATCCCCTGACTCGCAAATGATGAATGTATTCCTGAAATGGCTGCAGGCGAGAGGGTCCGAAGCTACTCTAGAAGCGTTTGTGTGAGTTCTGTGGAAGTGCAATAACCTCTGTACAGTGGACTGGGATGGTATAGAGAAGATCCTTTAGGAACCGTGAACAAAACTAACAGTCAATGGTTTGTTCTTCACAGGAGTTACTTGTATGCATAACAGGTATAATAAGATATGAAAACAGTTCTGTTCTGTGTGTGGGGTATTCATGTTAAACTGCGTGCATGCACGTCGCTATATGAGTACAATAATATTGGACGTGACGTTAAAACCCAAATTCACCTCATCCTTTTAGGGATCCATTCATATAATTTGCATGACTATTTCGCCTTTTACGCCCATTGGTTTCAGCAGATATTCTTGACTCATTATTTTCTGGCGTTACGGTTTTGAAATTGTGACAAAGACTCCTAAAAATACCCCTTACTCAATATAAGATTAAACAAGGTATCTATGTTCGATCTTTATGTTCAGTACACATATACTGTATTCGACAGCAATACGTCAATCGATCATCATCAACTAAAATGTACAAATACAGTAAACTACGTTTATAACGAACACGCTTATAACGAACTGTCGCATATAAGGAACTGTTTCTTGGTGCCGTCCATTTTCTGTATAGATGTTGTACATATGCTTAGAACGAACTACAGTTATAACGAATAAAAATTAGTGGTCCCTTTGAGTTCGTTATAACCGTAATTTACTATATAACGATTAGTTAAGACATTTATGGAAAGTTATAGTGCCTAATGCTTAAAGTTTTAATCATGATGATATATAAATTCAAACTCGACAATGAAACATTATCTATCATACATGTATGCATTACACGCATTTACAGAATGAATGAAAATTGAAACCAAGGTTCATTTCTGTAGGCAATACAATTGATATAAGTAACTAAAATAACTGAAGCAATCAATTTATTACTATAAAAACATTACTGGAAAATAACTAAAATTAGAACATCGAATTTGCACCAAAACTATTGTTTTGAGAAATGATCCATCGAAAGACACTTCTGACCCTGATAAACATGGTCTTTCATCCGCTTATAGTAAGCCCCATTATTATAAACAAGCAATTCTCTACTGAAAATATGTTGATCCTGAGGTAAATTCGACGCATTAGTTATAAATTTTTAAGAGAAAGAAAGTATGCTTTCTTTTTTTTACCTCGTAAATTTACGTCAGTGTTGTAAATATCAGAACTCTGCCTCCAAAAGCATTTATGTCGCTTTCAGAGCTAGCTTCCTCGAAAGGAGTCAGCTATTACGACTGCGCATGTGCAATCAAGGAATTTCCTTGCTATGAATAACGCAAAAGATACATTGGCTGTGACGTAAAACGCGTCATAATCGCTGCTCATTTGCATATTTCATGCATGGACAAAAATGCGTAGTGGTATCACACACAGGTAGTTGTATAATATATATATGTATATACTAGTTTCACTCAGTTCTGTCTCTGATGCTTCTCCCTAACCTTACTTGATGAACATTCAAATGTCAATATTTTACTAATTACGACCTCATTTCAGAACAACCCGTGTGAACTCTCCTATGTATCACGTTGCGGTAAATGGCGACCACTGGCCAACAATAGCCGGCAAATACAATGCAACCGCATACGTCGGCACGCAGTTAACTGGTGACGAGGTGTGATACAGATTGCTGTTGCCGATGTTGGGGATACATAGGTGTGTTTAGGATATACACGTTGGGTTGCTATCACTGATCGTATCACATGTAGAACGCTTGATGTGACGCGTGCCTTATATAGACAGTGACTTCCGGGTTTGTTGTTTGCTATCTCCCCGGAAAGTCCGCAAGGTGGCTGGATAATGTCAACTGTAGAAAACGGGGATATTTGCACACCTTGTACAATAGTCTGTACGTTTATCGTTGTTAATGAGTTTTTGATAGAAACGATTGTGCTGATAAATATAACTACACACAAAGTCTTGAGACACATATGATGTTTTGTGGAGAATGAAGCCAAAAGAAATAAACCAATAACATAGCAATCAGGTAGCACAGGCCTGTTGTGTAGAGAAACTCAGCCACTCTTAGCTAAAATGTTTCATTGCTCTCTGGTTTTCATTTCTAGTGCCTGGACATGGAACAGCAGGTCCCCCCAATTCCTGGTATGTTGACTGGGCTTTCATGCTTCACAGCACAATCTCAATATCTTGCAAACTAAATGTCATTTTAACCAAAGACAATGTAGATCAAGATGTCACAATATCTATCAATATTTGAAAATTTAGGCCTACACTTGTTATACTAGTTGTATAATATAATATCTCAGTCTAGTTTCATATGTGTATGAAACATGAGAGATGCTTAATGGAGACACTTCATATAAGGGTATATGAACTCACATAGCAAACTGTAATGTACTTTTGTTTCAAGTACACTTTGTCCTACGGGCTGAGGACATACGTTTCCCGCTCTTGCTATTTTATTGTACTCACCTGAACTTCTTCTGTGCAGATGTTATTAAAAACAGTACGAGAGAAGAAAACACATTACTCATTTTCACATTTATAAAAGGATGAAGTCTGTCCTTAGACGGGAAAGTGTTTCTGAGCCATTCATTTCCCATCCATCTATAGTTCAAGATTAAAAATATATGGGAGAATGATTTACACATAGTTATTTTTCTGTGTTCTTTTTAGCATATGAAGAATGGTTCCGGGCAATGACTCTTGACCAACAACAACGGATCGTGACTGACAAGTTCATTGGGAGGATTGCAAAACATGTCGGGGCAGATTGGGAACTGATAGCAGCAGTAATGGACATCTCTAGGCCCAAGCGAGAAGCTATTGTAGCCAAACACCCAAGATCCATCCAGCTACAAGTTGTTGGAGCATTCACCACATGGAAACAGAAGAACTCACGTCAAGCTACAATTGCAGCATTGATTCAAATCTTGTGTCAGTGCAATGAGCGGTGTACCATCGACTGGGACGATATCGAGGACGTGGTGATGGGGGATTAGTGATGGGGATTGGTGACTGTCTCTATAACAATGAAGACTGTAAGGACATATAACATTTATGGATAACAAGTTCTTCTTTCTAATAATACTACAGAGCTACTTCTTGTCACTTTACATTCAGCTGATGTAGGTGCAAAATATAGTCGTTATAAAGAAGTTGAAGAAGGTGGTAAGGGGGATTGGTAACCGTCTTTATGACAGTGAAGACTTTAAGGACATATGACATTTATGGATAACATGTTCTTCTTTCTAATGATACCACAGGGCTACTTCTTGTCCCTTTACATTCAACTGATGTAGGTGCAAAATATACTCGTTATAAAGAAGCTGTCATAAAAGTTATAAAGATGTTGTCATAAAAGTGTTTTCTTACTTCTTGTAACCAACCAAAAGACTATGAAGCCGATGTTATAATCATGTGTGCACTATATGTGCAATTGATCTGTAAATGACGAGCATATATATCGAGCTATCCGTTGTTGGGGTATGAATGGTACCTTCAAATTAAACAGTTTTATATCTGTGCATAGGATTTCTTTTCTTGCATTTGTCTACTTTTGCTCACCAATATTACATATTCCGACCGCTTTGGTTTTCTATCTATGTCGCGTTAATTGTTGTCAGTAATTATAGTTTGTCTACAGATAATTTGAAGCAAGTGTCAATCTGTGTAGAACTTAAACATCCTATTCTCGAATACTGAACTGGAAGTTATTCACAGCTGTGATTTTGATGTACTCACAAGACCAGCCATGTATATATGCACACGACATGTCAGTTTAATGTGTGATTAAACTATAACACAACTGGAGAAGTCGAATGGGAAAACTAAACTAAACCAAGCTCCAGCATTAATCTGACACTCGTATGAACTTAAGCCACGTTAAATCTAACACGCTCTCTCACTCAGCCTATGAAAGGTATGGGGTAATTTCTTTGCGAATATGTATATATACACTTTGGTAGACTCATACTGGCACACACGTGTGCGCGCTGGAATGTACGCACTCACATACACGCACACATACACAGATACACACGTGGGCACGCGTACTGCCCTTTCTCTATTCTGTCTGCTGCCACCGTCAGTTGCGTTGATCGATGCACATGATATCAACCACTGGATTGTTCGGTCCAGGCACGATTATTTACAGACCGCCGTCATATAGCTGGAATATTGCTGATTGTGGCGTTAAACAACAAACATTACAATGGTATCAGACTCTGTTGTGAGCAAACGCTTATTGTCTTCTTGGAACCAAACGTTCAAAGACAAATTTAATCATTAAGGAAGCAGGAGCATTGATCATGTGACGTTTGCAACGTGCTGAACGTTTACGTGTCATAGGCGTGGTACAGGAGGACACACGTCAGACGTTTGTTGCCGGAATGTTGCAATTTTTCAATCTGTCGTCAGCAGATTGTGGACCCAATACCAACAAACACATAACGTCGATGATAGACGCCGCTTTGGACGCCTAAGGGCAACCACTCGAGCCAAGGCCAGATTGGTCAGAACAATGACATTAAGAAACCGTTCGCAAACTGTCACCCAGTACAGGAACCGGCTGCAACCGGCAACTGGTGTAAGGGTTCATGCCCAGACTGTGAGAAATCACACAACTTAGTGCACGTCGGTTGAATCAGATGCGTCATTGGTTTAGGGAATGTCAGCACTGGGATAATCTACGTCGGGCTAATGTGATGTTTTCTGACGAATCGAGGTTCACCCTCGACTTCCTTGACTGCCCGATCGGGCTGCTCAAGTAGGTTAAACTGAACTTCATTGCTGACATGCAATACTATTGCATGATTTACAAATATGTCCCTTTCAGGATAGTGATATCGAAAATCACCGGGAATGCTACTACTAAAATACGGAATTTGCCCATTCTTCTTATTGAGTAATAGTTATTCAAATGAAAGCCCTGGGCTTAAACGTAAAAAATGCAAGGATCTAAAAAATACACATGGCATAGAATTTGACATTAACAGTTTAATACAACAGTCAGAAAAAAAACCGCTGCACAGCTAGATCTGTTGGATGGGAATGACCTACCATGCCATTATTATTCTTTACACAGTGTCTCTCGTCATAAATTAAGACAACGCGTTTTCTTTGCCTACCCGAGTGTGGCTTGTAGATTTGAAAGCCTTCAACAACACTCATTGTGAGTTTGTAGCTAGCTAAGATGAGCCACGCATTTATATGGCTTTACAAGGTTTCATACTTACACTGTATCTGTCGTGTTTTTAAGCATTTTAAGCCCATTATATAAAGCATCGAAGACTTAAATTGGTGAATTCACGTTATGGGATTGAACAAGTTGTTAACATTTATGTCAATGTCAGCACACATAGGAGTGAGTGAGTTGGGTTCAACGTCGCTTTTAACAGTTGATAAATCTCGATTCGGAGGCAAACAGAACTGAGCATGTAATGTTTGACATATTCAATTTTGGGAATAAATTGTATTGCATTTCAAATAATTACATTTACAACCAAGCTGGAAGACATGATAAGACTAATCATGTAGGGCGTTTGAAGTAGCCTTAATCAGACTTAAACGTGAGTGAGTGAGTGAGTGAGTTTGGTTTAACGCCGCTTTTAACAGTATTCAAGTTATATCACGGCGTGTCAGCTTAATGTGGGAGGAAAGCCCGAAGTGATGCAGGTCTCAGACGTTTACCACTTCGGTGAAACCCACGAGCACGGGTATGGTGCTGACAAACCTAGAAACATAATTGGGGTGAAGCGGGATTCGAACCCACAATCATAGGTTTCTGGCGTGCCCAAGGGACGCAACTCTGCACAGCGAATCGCGGCTCCTTAGACGACTGGGCCACCCGTGCCCCCGCACACATAGGAACTCGCCCGGCACATGTGACACTTGCGCAGTGCAGATGCGCAGCCTATGCACAAGACAAGATGGGCACAGGGTAGAAATAGGACACATCACAAGACTAACATTACATGAAGCTAAAAAGCAACTCGAGAATTAGGGTATGTTTTGAATTAATTTACTTCATAAATTTGCTGTATGATTTAGCAACATAAAACATACACCAGTGCGACCTATCATTGAAAAGTGCAAACTAATATTTATTTCTACATGGACTAAATGTATGCAAAAAATAATATGTGTGTCTTGACTAACCTTTAATTGTCCACACAACATCGACCTTTGAACAGACTTATTACCTCTCAGCTTGATTTACCATACTACATCACTAATCCCTGTGTTATGTGTAATTTGTCATGCTTTCTTGGGATTGACGTCACACTGTGGGTATCTCAAGATTATATAAACTGTACTGTAGCTTCATCTGTCACTATAATGACCTCGGTATCACGTTATGATATTAAGGTTATCCAACTAATGATAATCATTATGCATTATATGGTTGACATTGATGACATTGCCACATAAGTATTGTAACAGTAAGTAATAACTGTTACAAAGATCAATGACACAATTATCAGAGGTCTGAGATTTTATTTATTTAGATATATTTAAGTGAGTGAGTGAGTATGGTTTTACGCCGCTTTTAGCAATATTCCGGACACCGTAAAATGGGCTTCTCACATTGTACCCATGTGTGGAATCGAACCCACGTTTTCGGCTTTACGATCCAACGCTTTAACCACTAGGATACCCTATCGCCCAGATATATTTAAGGGAACAGGATGCAACCTGGTTTTGTCTGGGGCATCCCGAAAAGGTGCATCTTCTGAAATAAGTAATGCTGTATTATAATAAATATGATCTGTCATCTCTGTCATTCGATAAACAAACAATCATTTCGTTTTGACCTAATAGGAGTGTTTATAAAACTGTTATCCTGACCATCAGTGTGTTGTATAATCATTTATCATTCAATCTGCTTCCGTGATATCATAAAAAACCGTTATGAACATCAACAGCAGGGCTTTGCAAGAGCCCTTACTGAATACTGTTTGTTCTGACATGGTGACCTCCCGTCCACTGATCGTGGGACTCTCAACACACTTGCCACCAGCAGACTGTGAATGAATATTACACCCAGTACTATCGCGTCTATTTTCAGTGTTTCATCATGGTATATTGGATTAGAGATATGTGTAATGAAAAATGGTTTTCTAAGCATTGAAGATTATATAAAATAAACGGAACAAATTTGGACTATCTTGGACGATAGAAGCTTGGAAAATTGTCATGACAAAGAGATCACTAAATTTAAGTCGTTAAAGCGTCAACAATGTGTTTTTTCTGTTTTTTCTCATACGAAAAGGGATCTGGGATCTTTTATGACAAAAAAGCACGGGTGACATACGTATTAAAGTATCAGAATACGTGAATGGTTTATTTCATCCTTCTATTATTTGGAAAGATTACCAACAGAGTTGACGACAGACCAAGGTCAGGAAGACCAAGGTTGTCAACCCAAGCACAAGATCGATACATCCGGCTGCGACACCTCCGAGACCGCACTACCACAGCCACGTCTACAACCACACAGATCCCTGGGATACGCAGAATATCAGATCAAACGGTACGCAACAGACTGAGTGAGGCTTGACTTTTTGCACGAAGACCTGTTCGACGTCATGTATTGACCCCACGTCATCTGGCGGACCTTCTGCTTTGGTGCCAACAGAGGGTTAGATGGGCACGTGCAAGGTTGAGAAATGTACTGTTTACTGACGAGTCCCGTTTCCTACTCACACGTGCTGATGGGCGCGCACGTGTCTACAGACGTCGGGGTGAACGTCACGCCCCCAACTGTGTGCAGCAGGTTGTCCCATTTGGCGGCGGGAGTGTCATGGTATGGGCCGGAATTCATCACGGTGGTAGGACGCCTCTCGTGCATGTGGCAGGTGCATTGACAGGTGTGCGTTACAGAACCTTGATCCTACAGCCTTACGTTCTTCCTCACGTCAACGTTTATGGCGGACAGTTCCAGCAGGACAACGCTCGACCGCATATTGCACGTGTTTGTCAAGACTTCCTCCAGCACAACAACATCCAGACATTACCTTGGCCAGCCCGGTCACCAGATTTGTCCCCGATTGAGCATCCGTGGGACGAGTTGGATCGACGCGTTCGCAGAAGGAATCCACCGCCCCGAACACTTCCGGCGCTTCTTGATGCACTTCAACATGAATGGCAGCACATCCAACAGCGTGTTATTGACATCTACTTGGTTGCATCTATGGGTCGTCGGTGTCAGGCGGACATTGATGTACGTGGTGGGCACAACCGATACTGAAATTTTCTGTACCCCTGTGACATTAACTGTATCGTGTACGTGTGTATGTCTAGGTGACACGATTAATGTTTTGAACATTGTGTACATTGATACTCAAACAGTGTTTCAATTATGGTTTCTGTGTCCTATTTTGAAACAATTGCATTATATTACATTTTGAATGTCAGTGTAAAGTTTCTCTGATTTTGAAAAGTATATATACGCACTGACAGTACGTGCAAAACAAGCACGTACGGGTGTATGTATGTCTAAGAAACATATCACATATGATGATGA